GGGATTGAGTCAATGCCCACGGCTTTGCGAATTTTGGCTCGATGAACTGCATTGATGACTTCCTGTAGGGTTATGTCCTCATTAAGTGGTGCACTTAGTGGGTCAACATTATCATTTTCAATATGGGAGAGTTCTTCCTTGACTTGTTTCAAGTGATTCTCATCAAAGTTGACATTGTCCTCTTTTTCTGAATATAATTCATTGTATGAGTTGGCCCAATAATTTAAGACTTCTTGTTTGTCTGTTGATACAGTTGTGTCTGGTTTTAAAATTTCCCAAGGAACTTCCTGTTTTCGGTCTGAGGCGATGCCAATTTTTCCAATTTTATCCCAAAAGTTCCTAGAATTTGGTTCATTGTATATATCCAATAGATGTTGTTGTTCTTGTTTCTGGAATTGTCGCTTTATTCTGCGATGGATTCTGTCAAAGGTTCGTCGTTCTATCTTGTAAAGTTCTTTCAAGTTACGTTTTTGGGTGGATTTACATTTCAACCAGGCAGATTCAGATGCAGACACTTTATTCCATTGTGTTTGTAGTTCATCACACCAGTATGGCTTTCTGAATGACTTGGGTTTTTTAGCAGTGGTCTTCACTGTGACTGGTTGGAACACTTTGCTCATTTCATTGTCAATAGCTGAGACAAACTCATTGTACATACAATTGATACGCTCAGTGGTATTAGTTGTTCTTGAGATACGATCTAAAGTTTTATTAATTTGTGTTATTAGGTTATTATCTAACATAAAGTTATCGGGCACCTTGTTTATCCTATATTTTTTGTGTTTTAAGTTTTCTTCAGTTGGGCATTGTTCTTCATTTGGTGAATACCATTCAAAGTCCAAAGGAAGAATTAAATCACAGCTCAGGATACAATGGTCTGGTAGTGCAGCTGGGGCGGGTAGATTAAACTTTGATATTAGATCTGTTGGCCTCCAAATCGAGAAATTTTCAAAACCATTTAATTGCTCATGTGGGGTACATATGTAGTCAACTATGGAACGTCCTTTATGAGATATGCAAGTGAAGTCATTCATTCCTTGTCTGCCATTCAATGTACAAATACTAGAATCAACAAGGAAGTTTAAAAAGTGTTCCCCAAATGAGTTTAAAGTAAAATCAACAGTTGAGCGTTGGGGGATAGTGTCAACACCTTCAACATAGTCACTATTGTCACCAATGCGTGCATTAAAATCTCCCATGATGCATAGAGTACCCTCATTTTGAAACTCATAGACTCCTTGAAGTAAGTTGTTAAAGAAAGTTTCTGGATCACTGTTTCTTGTACATCTAGATATAGGGGGAAGATAACAGGCGCATATCACCACACTGAAGTTGGAGTGGATTGATTTTAGTTTTATCCACATAGTATCTGGCATTGATCTATCAAGAACTTCATATTTAAAGTCTGTTAGTAGATCTGATTTTATCAGGACTCCAACACCTCCTGATCCCCGGCGTGCATTTCTATGAATGGCGCTGCGATTATGGCCGATCCAAGTGTATCCATCAATATTAAGAAACTGCTCATCTCGGAGGAATGTTTCATTTAGGCATAAAATATCAAAGTTCATATTCTTTATAATAGTCTTCCTGAAAGCGGAGTTTTCATTTTGGGTAATTGAGAATCCATTTACATTCCAGGTGCCCACGGAGAGCCGATGTCGGCCGTCCCCCTATGTGGTGTGGGTACGGTCCCCAGTTGCCGTCCTGTTATAAAAACGCCCATTTCGGATTATAAAATTTTTCTCTTTTCCTACTGCTCTGAGCACTGTTTGGAGATTACGATTGACATTTGACATTTCCGGTGTGAGAAAGTCCTCTAAATATATATTCTTGTAGTTAACACTGTTTTTTAGCTCCCGCTTCTTTGACATGATTGCTTGTTTGGCTTGGTTTGACTTAACAGATGCGATAACAAGCCCCGGATACTTAGACCCAGGACGAGTTGGCTTACGTTCAGTGCCAGTTACTTTTACATCCTTAATATTAAGTCCAGTTTCAATAAGATTATTTATGAGGACAGTGTCTGAATGATCAGCTGATGCTTGTAAGTTTTTTATCACAAATTGTATTACCTCCTGCGATTTAGTCGAGCCAACCTCGAGATTTGTGATTTGTTTTTGCAGAGTTTCTTGGGCCGAAGAGATCTCAGATCTCAGCTGTGTTTCAGATTTTCCAATCTTTTCCTCAATCTTATCTATAATACGGGCCTCTTGTTTGGCCATATCAGATCGAATTTGGGCGACTGAAGTAAGAACTGTCTCTTGGCCTTGTTGAAGTTTCTGGAACATATTCATTACGATCTCTATGGAGCAAGTAGAGGACGATGGAGGAGCAATGGCCTGGGCCTGCATACCTGGATTGTATCCATCATGCGTGATACTAATGACATCAGCTGTGTTTCCCTGAAAATTAAGCCCCCCACCCTCGGCCTGCTCAGCTGTGGGTGCCTCTCGGGGAGATGTCGACCGAGGGGGGTGAGCCCCTTGGACGATACCTTCCCGAATGGCAGCTGCCAGAGTTGATAATAAATTCACAAAGAAAAGAAGATTTGCCCATCTAAATTGGAATAACACAGCAATACTTACATTTTACCCCTCACAAAATAGACATGCAGAATGTTCAAGTATGTCAGTAACTTCTGAATCTATATTTGATTGGTCATTTTCATACTATTGTTATAAAATCATGAAATTACCCAAATCTCTTACAGTTGAACATTCTTTGTCAGCCATTTTCTTTTGGTTTAAAAAGAGCGGGAAATTTAACACCGATCTAGTATAAATGTCCTAATTTTTTATAACGTAATACCGCTCTTATACCGCTCAGTCTGTATCAACAAGATTAAATATAAGTTAACACCGTTGTAATATAACTCTAGTACCGACTAGTCGGTATTAACAGATTTAACACCGATGCAATATAACTCTAGTACCCGCTAGTCGGTATTAACAGATTTTAATACTGTTCCAATTCCGCCAAGTAATTTAGAAGGATATGAGCGGCAAAGGAGCGGTACTAGGTCTAAAGTAAGTCTAAATTAGAATTTTTTTACTTGGGGAAGGATCACAGTCATTTCAAAAGTAGCTTAACGGCCGTTCATAGACGTTAAACCCCTTCGCGGTGTGCATACATAAGTCATGCATATAAGAGGAAAATGTTGGCCTGGTGACGAAGAGCGTTTTTAGGGAAAAACTGCAAATTGCCTATACTCTGGGACCTATACTTTAAATTTTTTATCTCTGAAATAAATTGTTCATACGAATTATCATATTTTAACAACTTTATTGTCTAATTTTGTGTAAAAATAATGGACAGAATTGGAGATATCGTCAATTTATTGATGTATATAAATAAAAGAATGGTGCCAAAGGGAGCGTATCGTCCTGAAAGGTATTACTAAGTGGCCCTGGCCATAACCTTGTTTTTTGTTTAGCCACACAGTAAAAGTATGATTTCTATGCACCATGATGTCCATTCAAGTAGTGCTTTCCTGAGACGTATGGGCATCCGTAAATGACAGCGTCTATTCAAAAATAACTTTGTATAAAAAAAAACTTACCTCATACAGTCTGCCTCATACCCACCTACCCACCTACGTGGAACAGGATACAATCATTGAAGGGTTCAATTTTAAAGATTATTAAATCTCAAAATAGCTCAAATTATTAACATTTACCTAAAATTCCGGCTTCATTTTATGACTAGACAGATGACAGATCCATAAATAAAGGCATATGGATGCATTTTAATGTGTAATGACCCGAGTGCGCTCCAGGGGAATAAATAACTAACGACCGCGAGCATAAGTCCAACAAGCCAGATAAAAACAATTGAAAGAAAGTGTGCTAAATCCGATGCCCCGAGTGGGAATCGAACCCAGCTGGGATGTAGTACCAACTTGCTATCCAGGGTCGTTACAAATGCATCTATAATTCATCATAAACTAAGATTTAATAATATAAACTAAGATCTTTAAAATTGAACCCTTCAAAGACTGTATCATGTCCCATGTACGTTGGTAGGTGGGTATGAGGTAGGAGGTTTTTTAAACAAAGCCTCCAAAAATAAACTAGGTTATGGGGCTCATTAATAATATGAGAGTGACAGCTGACAATTCTGTTGTTTTGGTTATCCTAATCTATTCTCTTTCTTCCTCAATTAATAATTAATTTACAACTAGATAATCGTATCGCATGTTTATGTTTATTTCAATTCATTTGAATATAATAGCCTAAAATGAGTACAATAATATCCTTAATTATGAAACATTTAAAAGGTCACAGAATGTTAGAATTGGTAACACTTTTGCAAGATACATATAGCTTTAAAAATTATAAACGATTGCTATATTAGAAAAAATTGAAAAATCGTATTTGAATTATAATATATTATATAAATGGTATTATATCTTCAAGTGAACAAAAGATTTGAGACATTTTGTTAGAATTTATGGATAAATCTACAAAATACGTCAATATATATAATTCAATAATATAAGTAAGTTATTGAATGATTTGAAGTGCAATACAGGATATATTCTGTTCGAGAAATTTTGTATCGGAAAGAGACGAAGACGATAAAATAACATATCGACAATCATTAGCTTTCGGACGAACGGGATTCAGACATGCAGGTTTCGGGTTTCGGAACATTTGGATTCGTACCAATGGGATTCTTACCATTGAATTAGGACGATTGGGATTCGCACCAATAGGATTCTTACCATTGAATTTGGACGATTGGGATTCGCACCAATAGGATTCTTACCATTGAATTAGGACGATTGGGATTCGCACCTGTAGCATTCTTACCATTAAATTCGGACGATTGGTATTCCCACCAATGGGATTCTTACCATTGAATTAGGACGATTGGGATTCGCACCAATAGGATTCTTACCATGGAATTTGGACGATTGGGATTCGCACCAATAGGATTCTTACCATTGAATTAGGACGATTCGGATTCGCACCAATATGATTCTTACCATTAAATTCGGACGATTGGGATTCCCGCCAATGGGATTCTTACCATTGAATTTGGACGATTGGGATTCGCACCAATAGGATTCTTACCATTAAATTCGGACGATTGGGATTTGCACCAATAGGATTCTTACCATTAAATTCGGACGATTGGGATTCCCGCCAATGGGATTCTTACCATTGAATTTGGATGATTGGGATTCGCACCAATAGGATTCTTACCATTTAATTTGGACGATTGGGATTTGCACCAATAGGATTCTTACCATTAAATTCGGACGATTGGGATTTGCACCAATAGGATTCTTACCATTAAATTCGGACGATTGGGATTCCCGCCAATGGGATTCTTACCATTGAATTTGGACGATTGGGATTCGCACCAATAGGATTCTTACCATTTAATTTGGACGATTGGGATTTGCACCAATAGGATTCTTACCATTAAATTCGGACGATTGGGATTTGCACCAATAGGATTCTTACCATTAAATTCGGACGATTGGGATTCCCGCCAATGGGATTCTTACCATTGAATTCGGGCAATTGGCATTCGGACCAATGGTGCATGTGTCCTTCTTCGGTGTTCTGTATACACCTTTACCTGCTTAATAAGGCACTGTATCTTCAAATAAAACCTTAGCCAAGTAGATAAGAGCTGCCCTGTCAACCCTCACGCATTAGGCGTGATTGTCACGCATTTGCTGAAAAATAGAAATCACGCATCAATTTAGCGTGTATGATCAAATATCACGCACATCACGCATTTTGCTGAAATTTTAAAAAAAATTTTTGGTGAAATCGCGACACGGTAATATACCGAACGGCGAAAAAAAGCGAACGCATTCCGTTCGGTTTTTGCACGCGATTGCTGTTTATGTCACGCATTTTGTGCAAAATATGTGTATATTTCACGCATTCGTTTCGAAAAAATTTACACCTACCCCCCCCCCCTGGAAAAAATTTAGGTGTCCAAAATACCAATTTCACTGAAGCTGTCCAAAGTTTGAAGGAAGGTGTTCAACATTTGGAAGTCACACATGTTAGATGGTCCCAAGTTGACAGCCCTGTAAGAGTCCCTGGAACACTTTTGTAAAGAATTTTCAATTGCAATTCTTTGTGTCTCTCAAATATTGTCTTCTCGATCTAAGTCATAAGTTTCGTCAATATAACGAAGGAAATTTGGGTGAACGAGATAGCTACATGTAGCTATGCGATTTATACGTTGTAAGTTTTCGTTCCGATTTTCTATTCAACTTAAACTGTGTTGTCTATTTGAGACATGAAATTGATTACAACATCTCTGACAATTCTTTTTTATTTACAATTTCAGTTTTATGAACAAAATTGCCATGAATGTGAGTCCACGTGCATTTGTTCTCTTAACATATTTTCATCAACAAAAATATGTAAAACATCCATTCCATTCCGGAACCGGTTTGAGATCCACTATTTGTCACCTTTTCCATGACATGACCGACCCTATGTTTTATAAACGACATATCATACGTGACATTGATGTCCTTAAGCTGTGTTAAAGCGATTCCAACTTCTTCTTTCATGCGTTCGGAGTCTGATACCATCTCCTTGTAAATCTGAGGCGAAGTGGAGTTTTTAGGGAAAGATGTATTAAATATGAATTGATCATAAACACGAACATGGCGGATTAAAATGAGACCAACTAGATCAAAAATTTGTTTGATGTAAGTCTTGATGGCATGAAATACATGATCTTCCGGGTCAATGTAGAAATAGCAGATGATTTGTACTGGAACAATGGTGCTCACCAATTTGCATTCATTCCCATCTCGTACATACGCTTTTGGGCAAGTTAAAGCCTTGCAAATATTGTCCGAGTTACACCCTACCTCAACATCTAATCCATCGATGCCATGATCAGCTTGAGACCTCAGTCTTATTCCATTCTCAGATGTCACATCCACCATTAATTTAAACGAAAACAAGGGTAAGTTTGGGCTCCTTAGATGACTCAATCGTACGGTACACGAAGGCAATGGACGTTCAGTTTCTGTACATATGAGGCAATACCAGTTATGATAGGCATGGTATTTTTGTTTGTATGTAGAATAAGGGTCTAAGTTAGAGTTCGCACACCGATAGGCCAGCAAACGATCTGTTCCATCCGGACATGTATGGATAGTTGGGATGCATGGCCTCGGTTGTAGATTATCATTTGAAGGAGCGATATACTCAACAGAACAAAAAGGGGAATTCATAACTCTCGTTAAGGTATTTAGTCCAGGGTTCTGAAAATCCGACTTATCCAATACGTCTCGATCACACCTGTATTTTGTCTGCCACAATACAGGAGACTTGACATTGTTACATCTTGCGCAAAATATGTTGCTTTACTGTATACCTGGAACAAAATTTGAAGGAGGTGAGCTTGGGCCTACAATTTTCTCATAAACGTCCCTCCATCAAATATCACCAAAAGGGACTCAATTAATTTAGAAGCACTGTAAAAATGATTTCCAGGAGATATTAATTTGTTTACTGTTATTTTTCAGATAAGCGTCAAAACCAATTTTGTAATAACTTCACGCATGTACAATCTATAGGAAAAGTCGACATATTTATATATAAATTACATGATTTAACTTAGAATTAAATTACGTCAATATACATAAACTACCTGTTTCGACGTCAGATGCTGGTAATAAACTGAGGAGGGTATTTCTGTTCCTACATTTTTCTTCTAAATCAGTCCCAAAATGCTCGCTTGCACACGTTTGGTCCATGTACAATATCTCTGTTTGGCTTATTTTGATACAACCATATTTAGATCTTTCCCCACTCGTCAATTCACCATATTTGGTGTTGTTGTAGTTGATGCTGCACTCGCTCTCAAAATCAGCACAACAATCTTGGTAGTGGGCACATTTGTCGTCACATTGGCAGTAAAACTCACTGAGACTGCTCGTATATTTCGGCACACCGCATCTGTCCTTACACGTGCGCATTTTCTGATCACATGTTTTTTTCTCCATTTCATTTTCAGTTTTGATACTGATATTCTGTTGTGGAGATGTATCTCTGATTTCGCGTACGTTTTCGCCTCCATTAAGTTTCCGTATGCCTTTAAAAGGACCAGTATAGTTCATTTCTCCGGTTTCGAATGTATGCCTTGTGAATATAACAAAAATGATGTAATACAGGCAACACTTCATTTTACGTGCCAAAGCTGAACTGAAAACACTATATGTTTCTTAGATCTCCACGTGTAATTTCTTCTCTTGGCGTTGCAATACAAGACTGGAAAAATAACGCTACGCGATTAAATAATTGAATTGATTATGATAACATACTATCATTTTTATAATTACTGCAAGCATCACTTATATCAATAATCACTTATCAGTAAAACATTATTCTTACGAAGGATATATTTATAATTATTACCTGCGTCACTAATTATACCATTTCTCAATTATATAATTCTTTGACTTCTATCCCTCCCTCTATAGGTAAACGATCGTATATAATTAATTACAATAAAGTGCTTGTTATTTATAATTATTACCTGCGTCTCTAATTATACCATTTCTCAATTATATAATTCTTTTACTTCTATCCCTTCCTCTATAGGTAAACGATCGTATATAATTAATTACAATAAAGTGCTATGTTATTTATAATTATTACCTGCGTCTCTAATTATACCATTTCTCAATTATATAATTCTTTTACTTCTATCCCTTCCTCTATAGGTATAGGTTTTTATTTTATTTATTTCCTCTCTCTCTATTTATCCATTGGCCACAGCTCGCTTCTATCTACCCTTTCACTGACAAGGTGTTTCGCAAAACCCAGTGAACGGTTTATTGGACAAGTCGCAACTTCAAAACACCCCTCCCGAATTACATTTCAATAACAGGCCTCGTATAATAAGGTTTAAGTCATCCCCTCACATTTGATAGAGCCATTTAGTTAAACTTAGAAGCAAGATCTCAAATTTATTTCATATAAATCATAAAAAATATTGACAATAATTACCATTTCTATGTATTTCAAATGAGATTCTAAAGACTGAAAATGTAGAACATCATATAGTTATGAAATATTAAAATGGGCATTCATTCAAAGAATCTGTGCCGTTAAATATTCAGAGATGGTCACTTTACTTTCTTGTATGGCAAACTCAGATCGGCTATTTATATCTAAAAACTTACGTTGCAAAACATGTAAAATTAGGAAGACTTAGGAGCAAAACGGGACACGTTTCAGTGGTTCACAAAATGTCCCACAAAAATGAGTTCATACAAGCGTCTGGTATTTATTTTAAAAATATCTAGTACTCTTATCAAACCCAAGAGAGATGAAATCATATCGTTTGTCTTGACTGTAATCTTGTGGCAAAGAGGGTAGGGGTGGCAGGGTTAAGATAGGGGGGGGGGAGTGGAACATTTATAAAGTTGCAGTTTTCCTTTTGCAATATCTTTTTCACCGTTTTAGCGTTAAAGAATTTTGAATAGGCTAGAAATATGACCTACAATGTATAATAAATATAATACAATATTTGCTTCATAATCAGGATCAGTTTACAATATTCTAGGTTATTTATATTTTCTTTCAATAATACGAAAACCTATCAATAACAAAGAGCATACAAATTAGTCTAATAATCACAAAATATTTTCCTTTGAAATCATTTTAAATAAAACCATACCCTGTAATCTAGATAGCAGTTCCAAATTACCCTCTGAGGGCCACGAATGATTTTCCAGACTTTAATCGGACCCAAGTGAAAAAATCCAATGGACGTTGCATATTAAATGCCGACCTTATACCGACCTTATGTAGTTGTCTAATACCGAACTAATACCGATGAAATCCTGCTAAAATTTATCATGCATATAAGCTAATTTAGAAGTCCTGTCAGCCAATCAGCTTTAACCAAATACCGACCAAATACCGACCTAGTACCGATCTTATATAGCTCTAATAACGATGCACCGGTATAGGACTATGCTATTTAATATGGCTTCAGTGAAACTCCAATACCGATCAAGTACCGATCAAATACCGATCAAATACCGATGCATCGGTATTGGACAGGGATATTTAATACCGCTCTAGTACAGCTCCAATACTGATTAAATACAGATGAAATCCGGTGTCTTCCCATTTCGCCCCTTTCCACTTTTCTCCCTTCCCATTTCGCCCCTTTCCCAAATTGCCCCTTACCCATTTTGCCCCCATTCCATTTCGCCCCTGTCCCATTCAGCCCCCTTCCCATTTCGTGAGATATCACAGCCTCCTATCATTCCCCCTTCGCCCCTTCCCAATTGTCCTCTTTCCCATTTCGCCCCTCATTTATTCCCATTTCGCCCCTTCCCATTTTGCCCCTAAATAATTGAATAATATTTGAACAAAACCTGTTATTGATCTAAAATGGGAATGGGCGAAATGGGAAGGGGCGACATGGGAAGGGGCGAAATGGGAAGGGGCGATAAGGGAAAGGGGCGATATGGGAAGGAGGCAACACGGGAAAGGGGTGAAATGCCAAAGGGGCAAAATGGGAAGGGGCGAGATGGGAAAAGGGCGAATTGGGAAAGGGGCAAAATGGGAATAAATGAGGGGCAAAATGGGAAGGGGCGAAGTGGGAAGGGACGAAATGGGGATAAAACATGAAATCCTTCTAAAAATTATCATTTAATAATCAAAATCATATTTAAATACCATTTTGGATAATTGGTCACCCTAAGAATGTTTAATATAGCAGCTAGTAACACAGATCTTATGACGATGCTTCTGTTTCAGCCTTTTGCCTTCTGATCAAAATTAATATAATGATATGATGTATGTCAACAGACATGCAGTAGCTCTAACTATTAGTACACCTAAAAGCTTAATTTAACTACCAGGCACCAACCCTGGGGAAGGTGTTCTGTCACGGGTGTTCCACTGTGTATATCACAGTGGATGGGGCGTATACAGCAAGAGGTGCTCACTCGGCCGAGCCCGACCTCACACCCGGCAGGCACTCATCAATCATTTAAGGGGGGTGTAAATGGACTTAAGAAAGTTTTTCCATCAAATCGGAACAACTTTAGCGTCTCAGACGTTTGTTTAAACATTAAAATAAAATAACATATCGACAATCATTAGGTTTCGGACGAACGGGATTCAGACATGCGGGTTTCGGAACATTTGGATTCGTACCAATGGGATTCTTACCATTGAATTAGGACGATTGGGATTCGCACCAATAGGATTCTTACCATTGAATTTGGACGATTGGGATTCGCACCAATAGGATTCTTACCATTGAATTAGGACGATTTGGGATTCGCACCAGTAGCATTCTTACCATTAAATTCGGACGATTGGTATTCCCACCAATGGGATTCTTACCATTGAATTAGGACGATTGGGATTCGCACCAATAGGATTCTTACCATTGAATTAGGACGATTGGGATTCGCACCAATAGGATTCTTACCATGGAATTTGGACGATTGGGATTCCACCAATGGGATTCTTACCATTGAATTAGGACGATTGGGATTCGCACCAATAGGATTCTTACCATTGAAATTGGACGATTGGGATTTGCACCAATAGGATTCTTACCATTAAATTCGGACGATTGGGATTCGCACCAATAGGATTCTTACCATTAAATTCGGACGATTGGGATTCGCACCAATAGGATTCTTACCATTGAATTAGGACGATTGGGATTCGCACCAATAGGATTCTTACCATTGAAATTGGACGATTGGGATTTGCACCAATAGGATTCTTACCATTGAATTAGGACGATTGGGATTCGCACCAATAGGATTCTTACCATTGAAATTGGACGATTGGGATTTGCACCAATAGGATTCTTACCATTAAATTCGGACGATTGGGATTCGCACCAATAGGATTCTTACCATGGAATTTGGACGATTGGGATTCCACCAATAGGATTCTTACCATTGAATTTGGACGATTGGGATTCGCACCAATAGGATTCTTACCATTTTATTTGGACGATTGGGATTTGAACCAATAGGATTCTTACCATTAAATTCGGACGATTGGGATTTGCACCAATAGGATTCTTACCATTAAATTCGGACGATTGGGATTACCGCCAATGGGATTCTTACCATTGAATTTGGGCAATTGGCATTCGGACCAATGGTGTGTCCTTCTTCGGTGTTCTGTATACACCACATTTACCTGCTTAATAAGGCACTGTATCTTCAAATAAAACCTTAGCCAAGTAGATAAGAGCTGCCCTGTCAACCCTCACGCATTAGGCGTGATTGTCACGCATTTGCTGAAAAATAGAAATCACGCATCAATTTAGCGTGTATGATCAAATATCACGCAAATCACGCATTTTGCTGAAATTTTAAAAAATTGTTTTTCGTGAAATCGCGACACGGTAAAATACCAAACGGCGAAAAAAAGCGAACGCATTCCGTTCGGTTTTTGCACGCGATTGCCGTTTATGTCACGCATTCTGTACAAAATATGTGTATATATCACGCATTTGTTTCGAAAAAATTTACACCTACCCCCCCCCCCCCTGGAAAAAATTTAGGTGTCCAAAATACCAATTTCACTGAAGCTGTCCAAAGTTTGAAGGAAGGTGTTCAACATTTGGAAGTCACGCATGTTAGATGGTCCCAAGTTGACAGCCCTGTAAGAGTCCCTGGAACACTTTTGTAAAGGATTTTCGCTTGTAATTCTTTGTGTCTCTCAAATATTGTCTTCTCGATCTAAGTCATAAGTTTCGTCAATATAACAAGGAAATTTGGGTGAACGTTAACATTCCCGGATGTCGAATGTCTCAGGAACACATAGGTACTCGAATGATTTCATGGTGCAGAGGAATCGTAATTTTACTGAGTGGATTCATTAAAAAATGAACATCATTGCGAGCAGCCCCTTGCTAAGCGAGATAACTACATGTAGCTATGCGATTTATACGTTGTAAGTTTTCGTTCCGATTTTCTATTCAACTTAAACTGTGTTGTCTATTTGAGACATGAAATTGATTACAACATCTCTGACAATTCTATTTTATTTACAATTTCAGTTTTATGAACAAAATTGCCAATGTGAGTTCACGTGCATTTGTTCTCTTAACATATTTTCATGAACAAAAATATGTAGAACATCCATGCCATTCCGGAACCGGTTTGAGATCCACTATTTGTCACCTTTTCCATGACATGACCGACCCTATGTTTTATAAACGACATATCATACGTGACATTGATGTCCTTAAGCTGTGTTAGAGCAATTCCAACTTTTTCTTTCATGCGTTCGGAGTCTGATACCATCTCCTTGTAAATCTGAGGCGAAGTGTAGTTTTTAGGGAAAGATGTATTAAATATGAATTGATCATAAACACGAACATGGCGGATTAAAATGAGACCAACTAAATCAAAAATTTGTTTGATGTAAGTCTTGATGGCATGAAATACATGATCTTCCGGGTCAATGTAGAAATAGCAGGTGATTTGTACTGGAACAATGGTGCTCACCAATTTGCATTCATTCCCATCTCGTACATACGCTTTTGGGCAAGTTAAAGCCTTGCAAATATTGTCCGAGTTACACCCTACCTCAACATCTAATCCATCGATACCATGATCAGCTTGAGACCTCAGTCTTATTCCATTCTCAGATGTCACATCCACCATTAATTTAAACGAAAACAAGGGTAAGTTTGGGCTCCTTAGATGACTCAATCGTACGGTACACGAAGGCAATGGACGTTCAGTTTCTGTACATATGAGGCAATACCAGTTATGATAGGCATGGTATTTTTGTTTGTATGTAGAATAAGGGTCTAAGTTAGAGTTCGCACACCGATAGGCCAGCAAACGATCTGTTCCATCCGGACATGTATGGATAGTTGGTATGCATGGCCTCGGTTGTAGATTATCATTTGAAGGAGCGATATACTCAACAGAACAAAAAGGGGAATTCATAACTCTCGTTAAGGTATTTGGTCCAGGGTTCTGAAAATCCGACTTATCCAATACGTCTCGATCACACCTGTATTTTGTCTGCCACAATACAGGAGACTTGACATTGTTACATCTTGCGCAAAATATGTTGCTATACTGTATACCTGGAACAAAATTTGAAGTAGGTGAGCTTTGGCCTACAATTTTCTCATAAACGTCCCTCCATCAGATACCACCAAAAGGGACTCAATTAATTTAGAAGCACTGTAAAAATGATTTCCAGGAGATATTAATTTGTTTACTGTTATTTTTCAGATAAGCGTCAAAACCAATTTTGTAATAACTTCACGCATGTACAATCTATAGGAAAAGTCGACATATTTATATATAAATTACATGATTTAACTTAGAATTAAATTACGTCAATATACATAAACTACCTGTTTCGACGTCAGATGCTGGTAATAAACTGAGGAGGGTATTTCTGTTCCTACATTTTTCTTCTAAATCAGTCCCAAAATGCTCGCTTGCGCAAGTTTGGTCCATGTACAACATCTCCGTTTGGCTTATTTTGATACAACCATATTTAGATCTTTCCCCACTCGTCAATTCACCATATTTTGTGTTGTTGTAGATGATGCTGCACTCGCTCTCAAAATCAGCACAACAGTCTTGGTAGTGGGCACATTTGTCGTCACATTGGCAGTAAAACTCACTGAGACTGCTCGTATATTTCGGCACACCGCATCTGTCCTTACACGTGCGCATTTTCTGATCACATGTTTTTTTCTCCATTTCATTTTCAGTTTTGATACTGGCATTCTGTTGTGGAGATGTATCTCTGATTTCGCGTACGTTTTCGTCTCCATTAAGCTTTCGTATGCCTTTAAAAGGACCAGTATAGTACATATCTCCGGTTTCGAATGTATGCCTTGCGAAAATAACCAAAAAGATGTAATAAATATAACACTTCATTTTACGTGCCAAAGCTGAACTGAAAACACTATTATATGTTTCTCAGATCTCGACGTGTACTTTCTTCTTTTGGGGCTGTAATACAAGACTGGAAAAATAACGCTACACGATTATATATTAATTGAATTAATTATGATTACACACTATCATTTTTATAATTATTGCAAATATCACTTATAGTAATTATCAATAGAAATATTATTCCCATGAAGGATATAAGAGACTAATTCAAGAAACACGTGCAATTGCGTATATTTCTTACGAGAATCAGCACGACAATGAAAATATACAGCATCAAATTTACAATGGCGAAGCTAAGCTGAAAACGATATCGATCTGTTCCTTAGTCAAGTGCGATTGTAAGTGAAGATAGAATAATTAGAGAATTTTCGTTATAAGTTGTTTCAAAAACTTATACGTATACTTATAGTTTAAAGGGTCTTGTCGAACTAAAATCAATTCAAATTGATTTTCATAAACTGTACCAAGTGGGGCATAACTATTCCCGATATAGTCAAGCTCCATCATCAACTAGGGACTGCGAATACAATGTCCTTTGCTAGTGTCAATTATGGACACGATAAACTAAACGCTAGTTGACAGGTCCTTGTAGTGTACGATAAACAAGACCCTTTAAAGTGAATCACTACACGAACGAGTCGATCATTTCAAAGTTCTCATGAAATTATAAGGTCAATTTTTAAGTTTTTACGTATAAAAGGGCCTTTATACGCAGATTATAAACTTCAAAGTTGGATCTCCGCATAGTATATGTGTGGACCTACTGACCAGAATGGCTTATTAAAATTAATCGGCTGAATATGCATAGTATCCAATCAAACAGCTCGACTCATTCATTAGCTGATCTAATTCTCCCTTCGTTATTTCTACAAGGTGATTCAAAACGATCATCTACAAAAAATATATTTGAGAGTAGATAAATCTGTAAAACCCGTGTGCTATATCAGCCTATTTGATTCTAGAAAACACATATGACACAACTAAACATGCTTTACATCAAGGGGGTACGGATGGTATGCCATTGGCCCTTTTTATTACCGTCCTAGGAGATATTTCCCGACGAATTAAAAATTATGAAACACCTTGTTTATTGGGTTTATAAGTATAAGTATACGTATAAGTTTTTAAAAAACTTATAACGAAAATTCTCTAATAACGCTATACGATCGTATATAAATATAATAATAAAGGGCAAGATATAGCTTTTATAAACAATTGCCATATTATAATAAATTGAACAAGACACACAGTGATTAATATCGCACTTTGAAGAGCAAACTGGCCACCATGCAATTTACCCAGCATGGCCAAAACCTAATCAGACCTTGGCACTAGTCTGCTCTTGCATCTGTAAACATTTCAAGTTGACAAGGTTAGCGGTTTTCCTGCAATTTTGATGACAAGAATTTATTTGTAGTCTTGAACTTTGGGAAAATTTAGATAACATTGTTTGTGACCTAATTTGATGACCTTCGACCTTGAAAATTTCACTTTTTCAGACCTCAGTAGGTCTTTTGTAATTAGCTGACCTAAATTTAAATCCAAAATATCAATTTAGAAAATCAAATTTTTGACCTTTTCAAGGCCACCGAGGGTCAACGAAAGGTCAAATCTGAAATCTAAGGTCAGATTTCAACTTCTGAGAACTTGTAGATGTTTTTAAAAAAAAAATTTGGTCAATTTGGAGCAAGTTGAAAAATTTAAAATGGCCGCCAAATTGAAAAATTCAAAATGGCCACCATGTAATTCAGCCAGCATACCCAAAACCTAACCAGATCTTGGCAATAGTCTGCTCTTGCATCTGTAAAAAATTCAAGTTGAACGGATAAGTGGTTTTCCTGGAATTTTGATGACAAGATTTGTTGAAAAATTCAAAATGGCCGCCACATAGTTTACCCAGCATGCCCTTAACCTAATCAGATCTTGGTACTAGTCTGCTCTTGCATCTGTAAAAATTTCAAGTTGAACAGGTAAGCAGTTATCCTGGAAATTTGATGACAAGATTTGGTTTATGTCCCGCCCGCCCGCACGCCCAAACGCCCGCACGCCCGCCCAACAGCACAAGACGACGACAATATAGCACTTTTTCAAAGTGCGATAAAAATCTTATTTGAGAACTTCCCATAAAATGTTACCAAAAGTTGTTTTTTTAATCTTCAAGTAAAAAAAGATTTGAGACATTTTGTTAGAATTCATGGATAAATCTACAAAATAGATAATATTGCAAACAATTGTGTTTCTTAAAAATATTCTTCACTTTATTAATTGATTCATGATCAGTATATGGTAGTCTAAAGCTGGGGGGGGGGGGGTTGGGCGTGCCTGGGGTCGGGCTTCCTTCGGCCAGGCATATAGGATCGGGTCATGGGTCTCTAGTGGAGATACAACTCATCAAGGTTCCTCACAAAATGTTCAATAGTTCTTTTTCATATACTATGATATGGCAGCTAAGTTACCAGGTTATACGTGCTGAAATTCTGAAAGGACAAGTCGTGGTTTGGAAAACAAGTCTACTGGGCTTATAATGTTTTAATGAAATATGTAAAGATAACACCAAAATTAAATTATCAATATTCAAATCAGGACATTCAAATCTACAATTTGTAAAAATATAAAAATTGTCCGATGAACTTCTTTCTCCAAACCGAGACTAGTCTTCTACACGCCACCTCATTGAAAACATGTTTGCACACTGCAAAAATGGAGAAACTTGGAGGTAAATCCCAAAAGTTGGTTACATTAAGGATTGAATAAAATTATGATGAAGCACCCTGCTGGCAAAAATTGCTGAGAGATTACGATTACGATTTTTGCGTTTTATTTATATTTTGATTATTACTATTTTGAAATATGTAAACACATATGCAACCCCTTCAATTTGGAAAACTTTCATACGTACAACAACCAAAATTCAAGTTTGCAAAAACAAAAATATTACAGAATCCAGAATCAATTTAGTTAAGTGTCCATGAAATACATGTACTTCTAGTTGTGAAAAGAATTTTTGTTGAAAATATTTTAATTCTGAGTCTCAGTCAGTGGCCATCTGAAACATTAGTGTGGTTGAAAAAATATTTCACTCAAAATTATATTTAAACTATTGAAATAACACTTTTATTATTGGCTTTCATTGATTTTCTAAAAATGGCAATCTGCCAAGGTAAATACAGTAAAACCTGTCTAATCCGAACACCCATGGGACCAGCCAAAAGCGTTCAAATTGGCAGGTGTTCAAATTTCGAAGATATTGTTGGTTGGGGGGGGGGGGGGGGTTTCATTGTTCAGGCCACTATATTGAACACTTAATACTAAGTCAGAAAACGATACATGTTGTTGATGAGTTAATTCTACAATAGGCCTTTATGCTATATGTTTTATTTATATTTTGAACAATTTCATCATTTTAGGAAAATAACTCTTATATTTTGGTAAAAACTTTGTAATACACTGTAAAAGTATATGATAGTCTCGTACGAAATCTTATGCTTATCAAATGGCTTATTCCATATTATGGTTTCATAGCACTGCTTTACTTTTGCTTGAAAAAGTACTTCATTGTTATTTCTTTCTTAGCTCTTTTAGCATTAGCAATATTTGAGTAGATAGCCTCTTCAAGTAAAAATAATTTTTCATGAGTGTTCATTCGAGATGAATGATGTATAATCCTTCAAAATATCAAGGGCATTCAGGATGTCAGATGTATGCCTTTTCAGGAAACATTTTACTGACAGGATATTACGAAGTTGAATTTTTTCTCTTTCTCGTGATATAATCTTGTCTGCAAATGTCGTCTGTGTTGTCTTTGTGATTATAAAACATTTGCTTATTGAATCTTAGCTATCATAACAGACCCATGGGATATAAAACAGTTAAGACCTGTTCATAATCCAAATCAAAAACATCCAGTTAATTCACAATAAGGATAAACCAATTATCTCCCAGATTCTCACCTTTCTCTAATCCAAATCAAAAACATCCAGGTAATTTCTAATAATGATAAATCAATTATCTTCTTGATTCACACCTTTCTCTTAATCCAACCATAAAACATTCAGTTCTTTTTTAATAGGATAAACCAATTAACTCCTGTATTCAAACCTTTCCAAAACATCCTTTTGTTTTCCACAAATTAGGGATGTCACTGCGACTAAATAAGTTAATTAGGACAATATTGGTTCTTTGATTATATTGTATGTGTAAAGATAAATACCAACTATAACATTCACGTCAGTAAAAATGTTAAGGGAAAGGGATATTGGAAGCTCAATGGCAGTCTTTTGAATGATAATGAGTACAAACACAAAATAATTGAATGTATTCAAAATGTGAAGAGAAAATTTGAAAAAATTGAGTCAAAAAAAATGAGTGCAAACTTTTGCAAGAACAAATTGACAACATAAACACTTTTATTGAAAGGTGTAATAACATCGAAATTTCAAATACATTAAGAAATAAAAAAGCAACTTTTGAATCAAAATTGGATCATATATGAAAAAAAGGCAAAGGGATATCAAATTCGGTCAAGGGCAAAATGGGTTGAATACGGTGAAAAAAGTTCAAAGTACTTTTTGACTCTCGAGAAAAAAAGACAAACCTCAAATATTATTAATAAGATTTGTACTGAAAATGGGACTTTTTTTAAAACTGACGATATCTTACATCAAGCAAAATCTTTCTACCAGAAACTATACTCATCGGATAACATACCAAAGCAAGATATAGATGCTTTCTTACAAAATATAAATCTGGATCACATTCTAACAGAAACAGAGAAAAATGTCTGTGAAAATGAACTTTTACAATCAGAAATTGATTTTGCAGTTAAAAATTTGAAAAAGAACAAAAGTCCAGGGATAGATGGCCTTATTCCAGAATTTTACCAATGTTTTTGGGATGAGCTAAAAGAAATTTATTTTTTAGTTTTGCAAGAGATTTTTGAAAAGGGAGAGATGACTGAATCTATGAGATTATCTGTATTGACACTATTGTACAAAAAAGATGACAAATGCTTTTTGAAAAATTATAGACCAATCAGTTTATCTAATTATGATTACAAAATATTAGCTTTTGTCTTGGCAAGAAGATTGCAAAAAGTGATTAAAAAATTAGTAAATATTGACCAGTCCGCTTATATTCCTGGGCGATTCATAGGATATAATGCTAGACTACTTCTTGACATTATAGAATATAGTGAAATTGAAGATATACCAGGCTTATTAGTGTGCTTGGATTTCAAAAAGGCTTTTGATTCTATCAATTGGAATTTCATGTTCAAAACACTAGAAAAATTTAACTTTGGAAACAATTTCAAAAGATGGATAAAAATTTTGTATAATGACCCTGTCATAAAAATAAAAAATAATGGATGGTTTTCTGAAAGCTTTCACATGTATAGGGGAATACGGCAGGGATGTCCAATATCTGCGTTACTATTTATTCTCTGTACAGAAGTAATGGCAGTCTCAATTAAAAATGATGAAAGAATAAATGGTATAGAAATAGAGAATAAAAATATCAAAATTGTACAACATGCAGATGATACAACTTTAATTTTATCAAATAATGACTCCCTAAAGTTTGCATTACAGAAAATAGAAAAATTCTCAAGAGTAAGTGGTCTTAAATTAAACATCAATAAAACTGAAGGATTAAAATTAGGTTCTTATAAAAATTCCAAAGATGATCACATTGAAGAAATACTATTTAGTAGTAAACCCATTAAATGCCTTGGAATATATATTAGGGATAAACAAAAGTGTCAATCTGTAAGCTGGGAATCAAAACTAAGAGATCTTAAAAAATTATTACAAACCTGGAAAACAAGACAATTAACATATTTTGGAAAATCTCAAATCATAAATTCTCTTGCAATATCAAAGCTTGTATACAATTTTACAGTCATGGAAATTGACGAGTCAATTATAAAACAAATAGAAAAAATGTTTTTTGATTTTCTTTGGAATGGTAAGGATAAGGTAAAAAGAAAGTCAGTAATTGGAGCAATAGAAGACGGGGGGTTAAATGTTGTAGATGTTAAACTTAAAATACAAAGCCTGCAGTCTGGGTGGATAAGTAGATTATTAACAAGCAAAACATCATGGAGATTATTTCCATCACACTTAATAAAAAAACTGGTCTTAAAGTAGAAACACTTTTGAACTGTAATTTTGATAAACAATCAATAAATGATCTGAACATATTTACTCCTTTTTATAAGGAAATACTTTGCTCATTTAACACATGTAAAACTTATGTAAGAAATGACAAAATGAAAAATGACGATATATTCAGGGAAGTGTTATGGTTGAACAAACGATTTTTAAATGGAAGAAGTGTTTTATTTTATAAAAACTGGATTCAGTCTGGTTTTGTTTACGTAGGAGATTTCTTTAATCCAAATGGCTCTTTTAAAAGTAGCCAAACTTTTATTCAAGCATTGCAAAGAAAAAAGAACTGGATGATAGAGTTATATATTATCAAAAGAACCATCATGAGTGTTTGTTCAAATATTGATAAAAATATTTTACCTTTTATCAATATAAGGGATAGAACTAAATTTTTAATAGAAAACCATTTTGTTGATTTAGACAGTAAAAAAGCAAAATTTTTCTACAACATCCTGCGAAATCTAAAATTTGAAAGAAATGTTCAAGAAACTCACTGGAATGCTTGTTTTAATATTATAGAACAACATCTTTGGAAAAATATATATGATCAAAAATTAATAAATATGACCTATACATATTTTTCAGAGTTTAATTTTAAACTTTTAAACAACTTATTGGCATGTGGATCTCTCGTATCAAAATGGAATAACAAAGTCTCGAAGAATTGTTTAATATGTAATAAATTGCACAACATGAAGCACATGATATTTGAATGCCGTAAGGTTATACCTTTGTGGAATAAAATTGGAAGAGTGTTAAAATGTGATATTCAATATAAACATATTGTAATTGGTTATCCATTCGGAAACACTATAACTAAATATAGAAACATAATTTTAACAATAGCAGGATTGACTATATACAATAACTGGTGTAAATATTCGGAAGAAAAAGAAAACTGGAAAATTGTTGATGTAACAAATGCATTTATCACAAATGCGTTTTATTATTCTCAAATTTTTAATATGACAAAAGATGTAATACTATCAAAATGGATAACCAAATTTGTATTAGAAATGTAATTGACTTTGTATGTATGTATCATTACGTCTCTTTTTGTTCATATTTTATGCATTACATGTTTTGTAATCATTATAAACAATGTTTGAATATAACAAAGTAGGAAATAAAAAAAAAAAAAAAAAAAAAAAAAAACTATTACATTCACTCAATATGTGGCTTTAACTGAAATGTCCAGACATTTGATTTCTGATAAAAATGTTCAGATTAGACAGGTCACTTTTTCAAATCTGGTTGTTCACTGCTCAAATTAGGAGGTGTTCAGATTTTTTTAACATGGGAGTCAATGGGAGGAAAAAATGGGACCGAAAAAAAGTGTTCAAATTGGAAGGTGTTCATATTAGCCAGGTGTTCAGATACAGGTTCTATTGTACAGCAAAATCTGTAAAGTTGTTCAAAGTCTTTTACAATATGTAAACTATAAACTGTATATGTAAACTATAAACTGTATATGTAAACTGAACATCAGTGTTAATCGAACATTAGGTTTTACTGTAATGCCAAATTAAATAATTCCCAAACCCAGATATAATACATGTATATGATATTACAAACATGTTTCCTTTATTATTGCTAATACATTTAATTGGGCCAGCCCTATACTCTTAGTGCTATAAATCTTAGTACAATAAAACCTGTCAAAGTGGAACACTGTTGGCACATCTAAAAAGTGTACCACTTGGGAGGTGTTCCACTAATTTCCACTTTGGAGTTGTTCCACTTATAGAGGTTAATTTCTACTTGGGAGGTGTTCCACTTATAGAGGTTAATTTCCACTTGGGAGTTGTTCCACTTATAGAGGTTAATTTCCACTTGGGAGTTGTTCCACTTATAGAGGTTAATTTCTACTTGGGAGGTGTTCCACTTATAGAGGTTAATTTCCAGTTGGGAGGTTTTCCACTTATAGAGGTTAATTTCCAGTTGGGAGGTGTTCCACTTATAGAGGTTAATTTCTACTTGGGAGTTGTTCCACTTATAGAGGTTAATTTCTACTTGGGAGGTGTTCCACTTATAGAGGTTAATTTCCACTTGGGAGGTGTTCCACTTATAGAGGTTAATTTCCACTTGGGAGTTGTTCCACTTATAGAGGTTAATTTCTACTTGAGAGGTGTTCCACTTATAGAGGTTAATTTCTACTTGAGAGGTGTTCCACTTATAGAGGTTAATTTCTACTTGGGAGTTGTTCCACTTATAGAGGTTAATTTCTACTTGGGAGGTGTTCCACTTATAGAGGTTAATTTCCAGTTGGGAGGTGTTCCACTTATAGAGGTTAATTTCTACTTGAGAGGTGTTCCACTTATAGAGGTTAATTTCTACTTGAGAGGTGTTCCACTTATAGAGGTTAATTTCCACTTTGGAGTTGTTCCACTTATAGAGGTTAATTTCTACTTGGGAGGTGTTCCACTTATAGAGGTTAATTTCCACTTGGGAGGTGTTCCACTTATAGAGGTTAATTTCTACTTGGGAGTTGTTCCACTTATAGAGGTTAATTTCCACTTGGGAGGTGTTCCACTTATAGAGGTTAATTTCTACTTGAGAGGTGTTCCACTTATAGAGGTTAATTTCTACTTGGGAGTTGTTCCACTTATAGAGGTTAATTTCTACTTGAGAGGTGTTCCACTTATAGAGGTTAATTTCCACTTGGGAGGTGTTCCACTTATAGAGGTTAATTTAACATTAAGTTAGTTGGTCTTGAGACTTTAACGTGTTCCACTAAAAGACTAACACAGGCGTTCAACTTCTAGAGGTATTCCACTTTACAGATTTCACTGTACTAGTATAGTATCTCATTTCACTAGAATGTCTGCCTTAGAAATATTACAAACATCTACCTATATGTATATTTCATTCATAAAATGTTAACGATCTCCCCAGCATTAAAATTGGGCTGAAGCATGTTCAAAATCTGAAAACTTGTTAAAAATATGTTTGTACCTTGCAAAACGTTGGCATATCTAGAAATGTTGCAGGTAATATTTTTTCTATTGTGAATAAATCCTGGGGGGATCACTGCAATGCTTTTTAGCATGTCTTGACAAATAACATTAATTTGTTTTAAACTTGATATTAATATGAAATAAATCAAGATTAATCATAAAAAACATATACTTGTACATAAGGGATACATATATAAGGGTTATGTACTTGGAGGTTTTGGATATAGGGTATATCCTGAGGGATATATCTGTATATCAAATGCATCGGTTAATTTTATTTCATGTTACATTTTCTTAATTTTTGCATTTGATTTTACATCTTTAAACATTAAATTCCAATAGAATTTATTATTAATTTAAACGCAATTCAATGCATATTAATTCTGAAAAGTTAACACTTCCTCATATTCATGTTTCAAACAGTGTATTAAATCTATATTATCCTAGTAACATTATTTTCTCTTTGAAGAAAAACAAAATGTCACCACTTAGAGTCTGAGAGTGGCGATACAAAAATCAAAACATCTGAATACGGCTCCGGAATATTTTGTGCCTACTTTGTTAACAATTCAGTTGCTCCTAATTCACTTAATGTTTGAGACTTCATACCCTAATGCCAAAAAACTTGAAATTACAACCCTCTCTAAGAAGAACAGACAATTTTGATGTGGAGCAGATCTTGACTACCCTGAAAGTAGCTATAATTGGCCTGAAAGTAGCTTAATTGGCCTGAAAGTAGCTATAATTGGCCTGAAAGTAGCTTAATTGGCCTGATAGTAGTTTAATTGGCCTGAAAGTAGCTTAATTGGCCTGAAAGTAGCTAAATTGGCCTGAAAGTAGCTTAATTGGCCTGAAAGTAGCTATAATTGGCCTGAAAGTAGTTTAATTGGCCTGATAGTAGCTGTGCTTACCTTTCATGAGCTGAGTTTGGATATAAAATAAATGCCGTCTACAGGTTTAAAAGGCATACAACTCTAAATGCAAATTCTGAATGGGCAGCTAAATGTTGAGCAACATAATCTGGTTGGGTAAGGCAAGATCAGAGAACTATCTCTCTCATTCAAAGAGTGAAGATGTCACTTTCTTTTCAAAGGTAAAATTGAACTTTTGAAAAGGGTAAAAAAAACTGAGAAATTAAGCACCCGAGATCAAGAAGCTCGGTTTTCCTCCTACTTTAGGAGGCTCCAATGAATGGCTCTAAGATAAGGTGGTAGAATCTGGCAGGATATATGCCCATCAGACAAACTCTCCAACTCCAAATTGTGCTACCCTACATACATTTTCAGCATGCTGACACTGGGAAACAGAATCTGTTTGGAGATGATCCGCCTCATGGAGCGCCAAACAGACAATATGAGGTTTACGATCCTCTTCTAAATAAACTTTAAATTTGGACAATCCACAATTTGGCGAAATCCGTAACGCTAGTCCTTTCCCAATTGTCATTACGCAGTTATAGTCATCTATGAAAGTTTTGATTATCGCTTTAAGGAAGCCTCCATGGGTTACAATTAAAACATCCGCTGATAAAGATGGCGTTAATTCCTCATCGTCTGAACTTGTTATTCGACCTGACCCTGTGCTTAATGTTCTTGACCTTGGGGTTCCATGAATCGGGGAAATGCCAAGATCGCTACATCGGTCAGTTGAGCTATCTTTGTAAGTGTTTCGCATAGTTTGACAGAGATCTTCAAAAAATACTCTTGTTCGCTGTTGCATCTGAAAACAATTTCAACTTCATAATTTCTTTCAGTTTCTGTACGAATAGTTGACAAATGACAGTGTGTATATATCTGACGGAAACATTAACCTTTGAAGGTAAATTAGACTTTTGAGTCTATCATTTACCTTTTATGGTAACAGTTTGAAGGTTTGAAAGTAACATTTATCTTAGATGGTAACACTGACCTTTGATGGTAGCAAAGAGAATTTGGTTCCATAAAATGATAATCATTTGTATTATACATTATATGTTTTATGACTAATATGTAAGCTACTTCTCTTATGCCTGAGTCACATTTGCTCCGATCCATTGGCCGGCGCCCGCCCGATTAAGTGTTTTGTTCAATATTTTATTCAATTTTGAACAAAATACTCAATCGGCCGGGCGACATAGTGAAAATCGGAGCAAATGTGACCAAGGCATTAATTACTTTAATGGTAACATGCAACCGAAATGGTAATTTAAAAGTTATGTTAACCTGTTGTTTGGTTTCAGCACCCGGAGGGACATAATCTGCAAAACTTTTATTGGCTTTTTTAGCAGCATCTTTCATTTCGGAGCTGGGGCGACCTTGGAAGATACCAAAATTCTGAAAAAAAATGTTAACACATATTTTTCATTAATATTATTGTATTAAGATTCAAAGTCACAACATTATGATTCTTTGAATAATAGGTGATCATTATAATTATAAATAGTGATCAACAATCTGAGAGACATCTTAAACATTTCTCAATCGCCAATCAAAACAAAACAATTTCAAACTGAAGAATATTTACAAGAGAAATACTTTTTAAATGGTACTTTTTTCAAGATTAAATGGTACTTTTTCAAGATTAAATGGTACTTTTTTCAAGAAGTTTCCAGATACAAGAGTCAAATGTTTCCTTGAAGAGAAGAGATTCTTAAAAGTCTGAAAGCTGTTCCACGATGCAAAACTACACTGGACAAAAAATTGGTCTTTCAATCCCAAAAATTAAGAATTTAAACAAATAAATAAATATGCAAACTCACTCTTTCCCTGAGAAGCTTTGAAGTTGTGATTTGCTGCTGGCATATCTTGTTACACGAAAGTATCAACTCAGTTGTCTGCAAATAAAGTCAGGATGAGGTGAAGATAGAATACACTTTTTCAATTCATGGTTCAATTGATGGTGACAAAAGAAGGCATATTAGGCCTTTTTGGCGACTTTTTTGTTAAAATTCAAGAAACTCTAGGATTAATATACCTTAGCAACATTCCCTTCCAGCAGGATTAACATTGTATTGTATTGTATTGTATTGTATTGTATTGTATTGTAATTTTTTTTTTTTTTTTTTTTTATATGTGATTTATTTCATAGTAAAATAGAATTATTACATACACATGTTGCGGCTTTGCAATGGAGCATTATAAGCCACAATGGAATAATAACAAGATTTAAAAAGAAAGTATGACAATGGATTTGCAATAAACAAAAGAATTATTGTGTACAAAATTATACAGTTGGTGGTGGAAGAAATACTTACACGCTTGCACACCTTTGAATAAAAGCTGAGGTGAGCCTTAAAATTTCAATATTAACTTCTTTTGGCAGACTTCTGTCTCCATACAAAAACAATGATAATTTGTCTTGCTGGTTTTTAAATGCTGGGTAATTAAAATTTAGAAGAGTAAGTGCATCCTCTAAATCTTTTAGATATTGTGATCTAAGGTTACAAGAGAACATGACATGAATGGATGTTTCATTGCTATACCCACATTTGCATGTAGGGGATGGTACATTAGTAAAATTGTGGGCGTAAAAATGGGACTGGAAGATCAGATCACAGCGCATCTTGTTCAGAGAAATTTCTTGGCTCCTTGTCAAGGAGATCTCTGAGGAATTAATGATATAAGTAGTCATTAATTTTTTCTTTACATTCGATTTAAAAATATTAAGATTTGGTGATTCTTTAGTTTCGGGTGGGAGAGACTCCCAGTCAATGATGGATTTAAATATGCATGATCTATTTGAAAATGTTGAGGTTTTGATTGGAATTTGGTAGTCACGGCTTCTTCGTGTTATTGATGGAAGATTTCTACGATATTGATTAAAAATACTCAAAACGTAGGATGGAAGTTTATTGTTGTAAGCTCGGTACATTAGGAAAAGTCTATGCATTTGTCTTCTATCAGATAGCTTTGGCCAATTTAAGCAGTTAAGGACTTTTGTTGAAGATGTTCCATGTAGTACACCTGAGCAAATGCAGGCTGCTTTGTAGTATAATTGATCAATGGATTTTAATTTACTTATATTTGCACAACCATAAAGAATATCGCAATAGTCGAAAATTGGAAGTATGAAAGATTTGAAGATTAATTCCAGGTGTTTTCCATTTAATTTGTTGCTTAGAGATTTAAGTGGGTTTAATAGTTTATCAATCCTCTTGGTGAGCTCTGTGATGTGTTGGTCAAAAGTTAGGTGTTTGTCTAGTATGAGGCCTAAATGTTTATGATGATCAACTCGAGGTAGAACATCATTACCAATTTTGAGGTCAGGAACGTTATATTCACATTTCCTTGGGTTTGAGAAAATTATGTCTTTGCTTTTAGAGGCCTTGAAGTTCATTTTCCATGTCTTGGACCATTGGAAAATTGAATTAAGATCAGATTGTAAAATTGTGTTACTTTCAATGAAATTTGATTTGGAATATGGTTGGTATAGAGATGTGTCATCTGCATAAATATAGCATTTGCTTGATAAGGTTTCAGGGAGATCATTTATATAAATCAGGAAGAGTAGTGGTCCAAGAATAGAGCCTTGTGGGACGCCAGCATTTATATAATCCTCATTGCTCAAAACAGACTCTTGACCATCAAGGATAACTTTTGCTTGTCTTTTAAAGAGATATGATGCTAAAAGTGATAGAATACTTGGGCCAATTCCATAGGATTCAAGTTTTTTTAGTAGCAAAGAATGAGGTAAGGTGTCAAACGCAGCTGAAATGTCTAAATAAACCCCCCTTACATTTCCCCCAGACTCTATTTCATTTGTTATAAAATCAATAATGCTTAATAATTGAGCCTGAGTGCTGTGCCCTGGTAGAAACCCACTTTGAAGATTGTAAAATAGGTCATTTGATAGTAGATGGTCAAATAATCGTTTGAAAATGATACGTTCAGCTATTTTTGAAATACAACAAAGGAGCGTGATTGGACGGAAATTTTGAATATTTGATTTATCACCCTTTTTATGAACAGGTAAAATATGCCCAATTTTCCATTTTTGAGGAAAGGCTTGAAGAATAAACATTTTGTTGAACAGTTTAGATAAAATGGGAGAGAGGGCTGGTGCTGCCATTTTTAACATTCTATTACTTATCATGTCAGGGCCGGTTGCTTTATTTATGTTTAATGAAAGTAGTATTTCAAAAATCTCGGATTCATGGGTTGAAAGTATGTCAATTTGATTTGGAGTTCTGAGATTCAAAGAAATATTTCCAACTTCTCCATCTAAATGAAAGTTCTTTATAAAGTGTTCCAAAAATAAATTTGCCTTCTCATTGCCTCTGGAAATACAATTTCCATTGTGGTCAAACAAAAACGGTATTTTTGAATTTTTAGATCTTCCCAAAAGTTTTGATATGATGGACCAATAAGACATGCTTCCATGTTTATACGAATTGAGCTTGTGGCGCAAATTTGAATCATGGATTTGCTTAGCTTCCTCTATGGCATTGTCAACTATTGTGCATTGTTCATTGTATTTTTGAAGGAAGGTCAAGTTATGAGTTTTTCTAAATTTATAATGTAGCTTATTTCTTTTATTTATCAGGGTTTTAATTTTGTCATTAAACCAAGGTTTGTCAGTGGATTTGTAATAACATCCTCAAGTACTTCACGCAAAGAAGCAAATTACATGTAGGGTTGCCTGAACCGGATATCGAATTCTGGGACCTACCGCGTAAGAGGTACTTGCGCTACCACTGAGCTATACAGTTGGACTTACATTTAAGCAGCGTCCAAGGTCACTGGAATAGGTATGTGTGAATTGTTCATTTTGGAGTCTTTCCCCTACAAGTTTTGCTTGTCTACAGCCTTCCTCTGTTAGTGTGCTATCTGACTGTCCTTGTACTATACTTTGTTTATTGGCCTCTGTTTCACCACTAAAAATAAATGCAATGCAGTGATTAACGATACAGTGAAACCTGTAAAGTGGAACACCTCTAGAAGTGGAACACCTCTGTCAGAGGAACACTTTTCTGAATCCCAAGACCAACTGACTTCATGTTAAATAAACCTCTATAAGTGGACATCTCCTGAGTGGAACACATTTAAGAGTTACAAAGGTGTTCCACTTTGACAGGTTTTAATCTATATTCATCCTACTCTGAATGTATAACTTTTTGGGGTCTTAATCATCCCCCATTATACTACAGAGTACATGGGAGAACTTCCAACTTGTCCGTTTCAGCTTCATAAAAAATGAATATTGGTGATACCATTCAAGTAATGGATGATGTAAAACACAATATGATGTAAATATTTTGTGGCAAATGAACTGATGGCTTTTATATTTGATTGGATAATTGAGATGACATGTACAAAAATGAAAAAAGTGAGTTGACATGTACGAAACTGAATTGACAGATAACAGGAAATGGAAAAAAACGGCTGGTATGACGGGTATCAGAGAATGAGATGATGGGGAAGAAATACTGAGATGATGGTGATGGCTGTGACACACATGCATACTGATATTGAATTTGAACTGACTTGATGTGCAGTTAGTCGGTAGGTTGGAAAAGTTTACTCGAGTCTCTAGCTTACAGCTAGACGTAACTTCATTGATTTCGTATGTACTGTGCTACACTCACCTACACGCACCTAGAATTCATTTTTAATAAATTTTATAAATATTTCTAAGAATATTAATCATATTTAAGATGAAGCGTTGCTTGTCTGGATTTAGATATTTCAAAATTTCATTTCGGAGTTTGACACATGGTGGAATTTTCTCGCTGTAGCTAAAAATGGCTTCCGGTCTGGACGTGAATTCAATATTTGAAATTATTCTCGCTTAAAGAAATCAAATATAACAATAGATTCAGACGGGGATGTGAGCTGATGTTCTTCAAATCTATACATAAAGGTATATTTCATATTATTATGCCATATTTACTGTGCGTGTGACACAATGATTTACAATATTTATAATACTAAGGCAGCTCAATCTTCCTCCTCAAAGCCGGAATATAGAGAAGGCTTTGGACCGAAGTAAGGAAAAGTATTCATATCGATTCATTTATCATTATCATTTGAGACGGAAAAATATGAATTCATGTAGGTGTAATGTCGACGTTTGGGGTAATGTCGACATAAATGACGGGGTAACTTCGACACTTACTTATTAGAAGTAGAATTTCCGTTTTCCGCCATGTTTGATTTCTGAAAAAATTAAATCTTGATCTTGATCCATGCGAGAAAAACATGGCTTCCCGATAGATCGGAAATTAGAGCAAATAAACAACAAGGTGTCGAAGTTACCCAATACGTTGAAGTTACCCCAAAATGGTGTCGACGTTAGTGGCTCCAAGGGCTTTCAAGAGCAGAGAGATCTTGAAACTGAAAGCCCATGGTGGCTCCCAAATCAAAATGCACTTACTGTCGGATCAGGGTGATATTGAACACAATCATAGCTTCAACTTGGTTACTTTTGCTTCATCACGAGTCCATAACATGCATAGTTGATTATGTCCGTTATTAAAGTACGAAAGTAGAAAAACTTGCTCCGAAATATTTTTTTGAGATTTCTAAATGAAATTACACATTCCAAATAATCGCTTGCTATATTACCATTGAGGCATTGAGGCAACTTGCATTATAGGACTATATTACTATTTTTGGAAACAATATAAGCTTATTTGACGCCGTTTTTGTTTTAGATCTGTGAAAAACTATATTTGTGAGAAAATTGATATGATTAGATTGGAATGTGTTTTAAAGATCTCTCATGACACGCCCAAAATCTAGTCCACGTCGAAAGTAGAAAGGCTTGGTCAGTGTCAACAAAACAAAACAAATATCGGTAAGACTTAACATTTAACAACCTAACTTTGATATGATTTATTATTCACTTGTGACTAACAATATAAAGTGGCGTCTTCAATTGTAAAACGTTCCAGGGCAGTAGGAACCCAATTGAATGCCTTCGCCTAAACCCGGGGGGTTCACTGTATATAAACTCGACGGGGGTCCTAGGCTGAAGCCTCAAATATCAATATGTTCCCATACCAATCTGTCAAATTTCAATATGTTCCCATACCAACCAAAATAACGCCCAAAGGCCATACCAAATGTCCAAATATAGGACCAATGCCATACCAAATGTCCAATTATGGGACCAATGCCATACCAAATGTCAAAATGTAGGACCAATGCCATACCAAATGTCCAAATATGTTTTGAAATCACAAATAAATCTCGCGAGACTTCATCAAAGCCTATGATTGGTCCTCATTTCCCGGGAAAAAGGTCTAAAATTCAAAAGTTGAAGAAGGCCCTGGAAAAGAAGATACTTGGGGAAACGATCCAAAACAACTTCAAATTTGCAACTACTGGACCAATGCCATACCACGAATGTTAGGTAACGTATCTACAACGACCATTCTCATACCAGAAGAGCAAAAGTCCGACCATTGCCATACCTCAGAAGTCAGAAATTTCCGGGCATTCCCATACCAAATCCTAAAATATGGGTCCATTGCCATACCAAACGTTGAAAAAGGTACCCCACATGCGCCGAGGATCCCCGTCAAGGTTTATATATAGTGAACCCCCCGGGCGCCTAAATAAGTCGAATACAAACACCAGTTCAACGTCGTGAACTCAACGGCTATGTATTAGGAATTTTCATGGCCGGGGCCATAAGACATGTCAGATAAGAAACGAGACCCAGGGTAGGTCTAATGTTGTTGGAGTACACAAACAACAGACACTGACATCTATTGGTGAAAAAAACTTGAAATAAGCCTTTTATTTAGGCTTATTTCAGGGTTCTTTTAATTACCCTTTGCATTCGTTTGACTTCACTTCTTAAAAGAGAGCGTCGTCTTCACTCTATCAAACTAAAATAAGTCTGTGAACTCACCGCGCCAATCAGTGTTCGTCGGCCAAATTTGACCGACGTTATATATATGGTCATTCCTTCTGACGTCATCGTTGAACCCGGAATTGACCAATGACATGCGCATATTTAATTAGAACGCATTTGGCGTATGTTTCTTCAAGCTTGCTGATTGGTGGAAGAAAGGTCGGCGCAGAGGTCAAAAGTGATTTATTACCCAAACTGTTACCGGTATACCTGTCGTTGGGGCGGGCTACTAAACTGTTATATGATCTCTACTAGGCAGAGTGTAGTTTAACTAGACTCTGCACGCAGAGTAGATTCTTTTTCACAACCAACCTGAAATCAACACCTGGCATCAATCGGTGAATATTCTCATCTTGGGGCAGTGATTAATATGATCCGTATTCGATCTGTTACATTTACTTGGCAATATTTGGATGAATTGGATTCGGACCATTGGGATTCGGAAGAACGTGATACGGACCATTGGGATTTGTACCTATGGGATTCACACTATTGGGATTCGGACCAATTGGGTGACCCCTTAAGGTGCTATGGAAGTTAACAGGAAATGACGAAACAGGAAGTGACAAAATTTTTTTCATTTTTTGAACAAAGTCTATAACAGAGTTCTGTTTTGACTTCCAGTCAATTCAACTAGTTCCAAATACCATTTACAGGTCCAGGATCATAATGTTCATGGTCAGAATGACCCTAAACATGATGAAATAACCTTTTCAGCCCTATGAAAATGTGACTGAAAAAAGCTAAAAGTAGGAGGTAGGTAGAACAGAATCTTTTGAATTTTTCAGAAAATGTGCCCAATATATTGCTCTAAATGATACAATCTTTGAAAAGTTGATATCATTCATAGAAAAAGAAAAAAAAATGAAAAAGCTGATTTGAAAAGCGATCTATTTTCCTTTTTATGACCACCATTTTTGTTTAAGACAATTTTCAGTTAGAGCATTATATTGGACGCATTTTCTAAAAAATTCAAAAGATTCTGTTCAGTGATGACCTTCCCTAGCTCCTACTTTTAGCTTTTTTTCAGTCACACTTTCAAATGGCTAATAAGGTTATTTCATCTTACTTCCTGCGAAAGCTATTTGGATTTTGATATAATAGCTTTCCCACGGAGCATTTGGACAGCTCAATGATCGTGACCTTTGAAATCGAATTAAGTCGATCCGCGGCTTACTTTTGGTCTCTAACTGTGTCTTGCATCAGTATCATCAATCCGTGTAAGTATTGGAGCGCTGGAGTACTTCTTTTTCCATCAAGACTTGTAATTGTTAGTCGAGTGAATCGTTTTACTGCCAAATTCCAATATGGCGGTTTCTGCTCGGACATTTTCGTAAATCTCCGGAGGTTGTCCGAACCTAACTAATTCTCAAAATTCATTTCGTTCGTTGCGTATCTCGCACCTAGCAAACCGCCATATTGGAAATAGGTCTGTAAAACTTTAACTCGATGAACAATTTACAAGTCTTGATCGAAAAAGAAGTACTCCAGCGCTCCAATACTTACACGGATTGATGATACTGATGTAAGACACAGTTAGAGACCAAAAGTAAGCCGCGGATCGACTTAATTCAATTTCAAAGGTCACTATTGATCAGCTGTTCACTTCTCCGTTTGAGAGCCATAAGTTTCAAAATCTAACATGGCTCTCGAAGTGAGTAAATTTCATCATCTTTAGGGTCATTCTGACCATGCACATTGTGATCCTGGTCATGTAAGTTATATGTGGAAATAGTTAAATTGACTGGAGGTCAAACCAGAACTCTGTTATCTTTGTTGCAAAAAATGTCTAAAAATGAAAAAAATTTTGTCACTTCCTGTTTCGTCATTTCCTGTTAACTTCCATGGCACCTTAATCATATATTGCCAGAAGAATTGTAAATTTACACTGTATTTGAAAGCAATTTTTTGTCAATTAGACATAGGCTACATGTATATCCTTTTGTTCCAGAAATGGGAGAAAACAAAGCCAGCAAGGTTATTTTGGTTACTGGGGGAACGGGGCTTGTGGGTAAAGGCATCGAGCACATCATCAACACAGAAGAGGCACGTCCTGATGAACGTTGGGTATTCATTTCATCTAAAGATGCAGATTTAACGTGAGTTTGGGCTTAATGGTTAGTAGACCCGGGAGCCTTCAGAGTTGTAATCCCTAATCATTTAATTTGGAATGCCTTCTGTTCTAACCAAGTAGCCACGTTAAATAAATTATTTCAAAATTCCCCTCATACGTTGTCAAAGTGGTGCTTTGTTTAACAGGCTCTAGCTATAGATTTAGATGTGTATTATTTTAATTGACACCAAATGTTAAATCAATTCCAAAGATAGCCAATCACAATATTATCTGTAATAAGATTTAAGTGATTTGTGAATTAAGCAGCACATATTTTCTTATTATTGAAACATAAAATGTCTTATCCATTACTGTCTTTCTTTCAGGAATGCCGATTCAACCAAAGCCTTATTTGACCGTGTAAAACCAACGCACGTCATCCATCTTGCTGCAATGGTTGGAGGATTGTTCCGTAATCTCAAGTATAATCTAGATTTTTGGGTAAGATAATATTCTACAATAATATCATTATCGCAACCTCTATACATGGAACACCTTTGATACCTTTATAAAATCAAATCAGATGTTTTTAATTGAAATGATATTTGCACAGGTTTGAAAAATTGATTTGATTTGACCTACTGTATGCTAGAACATAATTGTTATCTATAGTCGGTGACATTTGAAATTTGTACAATTGAATTCCTTTTATAGGGAAAATAACTCGAAAAAGATAGCAACTTTTCCAAAAATTAGCCAAATGTTTTCATCCATATTTTTGCTTGGTCTGGAAATTAGAAAATATGAATTTAAATGGATGCATGTTTTTCTACTGAAAGTATTGATTTTTCTCACACAACTGTTATCTGCTGTTCAATCCCATTCATAGACAAGTTTATTAATTTGGAAAGGGTTAATTTTGAAACAATACTCAAGAGCAAACTAATAAGAGTTAAGCCTAATTTTAGACCCTGGCGTTCTGTCCTGTCAATCTCAAAATTGCTTTAATTTGACTGCCATTTTAATTTGACGGGGAGATTAATCCATCAAATTAACTCTACTTAACCAAATTTTTGAAATTCCTGGGACCTCAAGTATCATGGAGAATTCATTTAATATACTGGGGTAGAGAAAGTTGTTACCCCGTCAAATGACCTCCTAGCTAGCATGGCATCCAACTTCCATATTTTACTGATGGGTCAATCTGCCAAATAAAATAGTAGCCAAAATGTAAAAATTTTCCCAATCTGCCAAAATAAATAGCACCATATTAATATAAAGCAATTAACAGTACTCACGAACACGGAAAAATAGTTTTTTCCATATTTCTATGAAATTTCTATTTTTTTATTTTCAGAGGAAAAATGTGCAGATAAATGATAATGTATTAAACACAAGCTTTGAGACAGGGGTAGAGAAAGTTGTTACCCGGTCATGACCCCCTAGCTAGCATGGCATCAAACATCCATATTTATTAATCCGCCAAATAAAATAGTAGCCAAAATTTAAAAATTTGCCCAATCTGCCAAAATAAATAGCACCATATTAAAGCAATTAACAGTACTCACGAACACGGAAAAATAGTTTTTTCCATATTTCTATGATATGTCCATTTTTCTTTATTTTCAGAGGAAAAATGTGCAGATAAATGATAATGTATTAAACACAAGCTTTGAGACAGGGGTAGAGAAAGTTGTTTCATGTTTGTCGACCTGTATCTTCCCTGATAAGACGACATATCCAATAGATGAGACAATGGTGAGCTTTTTTATTTTTTTAAATGAAACATACTTGCTTTACAAATACATAGACAATCACATATTGTTTCATCGATTACGAATATATATCATGCAATTGTTTCATATGTAAGTTTTTATACATTTATGTTTTGTTCTCCAAGTCGTAATTGGTTTAAGGTTAAAGGATCAGCATTTTACAGTTTTCAAGCACTTAAATATACATTATGTTGAGATTTTAATTCTGGGTACAGTTTAACCTGTCAAAGTCGAACACCTTTAGTGTCTATTAAAAGTGGTCCACATTGGTGGTGTTCCAGTTTTGCTTATAAATGTTCATTTGATCTTGGGATTTGTGACATGTGCCACTAACGGAGACATTCCATTTGTAGAGGTATTCCTATTCTAGGGGTGTTACATTTCTGAAATGTTCAACTTTACGTTTCATTTTATAGTTAATGTTATGATGCTTTTTTGTTACAGGTACACAATGGTCCACCTCATAACTCAAACTTTGGTTATTCCTATGCTAAACGTATGATAGACGTGCAAAACAGGTATGAACAGTTTATATTGTGATGAGTTTTTTCTTTTGGTATATTGCTAATGGCAGGCACTTTTATGCGCACAGCAAGCTTTGGTGGAATAGCACACTTATCATCTGTTAGTGTTCTGATAGGCCCAAATATTGGTATAATTCAGGGCCTTTTGCTTTCATCATATTTTTTCAAGGCGGATCATAAATATTAGTATTTTACAAGGCCTATATGTACATAGATATCTTCCATGAAAACTGAGGTTTTTTCAGGGCCTACAATAAATGTTGGTGTTTTGTAAGGGCTAATCATGAATATTGGCATTTTTCAGGGTCTATATGTATATCTTCCTTGAATACTGATGTTTGTTTTTTCAGGGCTACAATAAATGTTGATGTTTTGTCAGGGCTTATCATGAATATATATTTTTCAGGGCCTATCATCAGCAACACGGGTGCCAATTTACTTCCGTCATTCCAACTAACGTCTTTGGTCCTCATGATAACTTCAACATTGAAGACGGACACGTCCTGCCTGGTCTTATTCAAAAAATATATAACGCCAAAAGTAAGAAATCTTTAGAATATCAGCCAGATTAATATACATGTACTCTTATTAAACATTAAAGGTAGAATCATATCGAGCAAGCAAAAAGGTAGGTCACTTTAATCTTGCCTGTAATGTGTTTAGTTTCTTGGGAGTCAAGATGATTAACTTTGTCCCACATTTTTAAATAGTTTATAGAATTTATATTTCGAAATAATTTGTCAAACATGTTTTTAACTAAATGCCTCTAGGATTGGACAATAGTAATCAAAATGACAGGCGTTCATATTTCAAGGTTTTTGGATTGATGAGAGATTAAAAACAATTGTACCAAAAAAAATCTAAAGGGATATTTAAGTATATATAGCTTGGTTTATGTCAATCAATAATCTACAAAAGGCTTAAAGCCCATTTGAAGCAGTTTGTAAATAATAGTGATAGTATATTTGAATAAAATACAATTTAAATGTTTACATTTAAAAAATAGATCTATGGTTTGGTTTCAACTCATTTTAAAATTAGATGGAAACTTCCCAGTTGGCCAATGGCCATTTGCCCCCTTGGAAGTCCATCTATCTAGAGACAATAAGATACAAGGTTTAAATGAGAAATTGAACAAATCTTAAAAGGCCTTCCGTCTGTTTGTTGTTTTCTAATGATCATAAAGTGAATACTGTACTCCTGGTAATTTTTGCATGCTATAATATGTTGCACTTTTCGCTAGTTTTGGAAAATTTGCAAAACATAATAGCCACAAAATTCCAATTGTTCTAATTCACAAAATATAATAGTCGCAATATGGGGCTATAAAAGGTAGGAATGAACTGTTTTCCTATATCAATTTTGGTGTCTTAACGATTTTAATGACATAGATTAGAAAAAAAGCTGGAAAAAATGGAGAAGTCTCAAATCTGTGAAAACTTAGTTGCTGCAAAATTTCAAAAAGCTGAAAATTAGCAAAATTAATAGCCCTCCGTGAATGAACTTTCAAAATAGCAAAAACATGAAATATCAAATATTAGTTGGAGTACAGTTATATTAACAAAACCCTGTCATTGCTTCAGCAGATCAATGCTACAGCTGGTTGTAAATGCAATATTGGATTTGAGTTTTTATGGCAGTCATATTTAATAGATATTATATAGCATCATAAGTTTGAACTTTCGGAAGGATGGTTTATATTGTCATAGATGTCACAGATGATATAGGTTACAATATCTGGTTGTTTTTGGTATCACAAAAAATATTACTTTTAGATCCAGGTCACTAAATCTGTATTGTATTGGCTTTCATGTAAAAAGAAGCCTTCTGATTGGTCAGTTCTTGCGCTGTACCGTACCAATCTGTATTGCTACTGAGATTGTTCTCATTGATCACCTCTGTAGCAATACAGAAAATATTGCTTTTCTCTCAAAAATAATATCTAGAAGAGAATTTACATTTTACTCAAAATATTGCATTATTTTTTTCAGGAGACAATACGCCTTTTGTTGTGTGGGGCACAGGATCACCTAGGAGACAGTTTATTTATTCTCTCGATCTGGCAAGACTATTTATATGGGTGCTTAGAGAATATAAAGAAATTGATCCAATCATATTATCAGGTAAGTTGTAGATAAAAGGAAGTGTCGAGGGTAAATTTTTCCAACCTCTGAACCATTTATTTTTTAGCCAGAATCAAAACTTAAACTTACTTATATTTATGGATGTACATGTAAATGTTTTATTTCACTGTACATGATAAGGACAATTTGATCTGATTTGATACCCGCATGGGTCATTGAAATTAGCACACTCCCTTTCCGGTCTAAATATCTGGCTTGTTTTATAACATTAGAGTTCCCCTGACAAGGGTGCCCACGGGTCGTTACAATTGTTTATGAAAAACTTCCATTTTGAAACATCCTTTGCTTCTTATACCTCTATGTGTTGTAGTTTATGTTCAAATTGGTCAGAAGACTGCAAAGCAAATACATGAAATAATAAGGGTAAATCTAAGTCATAATGGTTGATGTTTTATTTGCAGTGAATGAATCTGATGAGGTGTCTATAAAAGAAGCAGCAGAATCTGTGATTGAAGCCATGGACTTCAAAGGAGAAGTTCTTGTATCCTTTAAATCTGGTTAAATTAAATAACTAAGCCATGATCTGCATGCTGTAGAAAGCATTATTACATCGCAGCATATTACACTCCAAAGTAAACTTTAAACACTTTATCAAGTTCTTACAAATGTTAATATTTGATAGTTTGATATTTTTAGAAGGTCAAAGGAGTGGTATCGATATGGAGAACTTTTTGAACACATGTTTCTCTTAAACCAGTCATAACAAGGTTTCAACAAGGTTCGAAAAGACATTTTATTTATTTCTCAAGAATTGGTAGAAAGGAGCAAAAACAATTGCATTAAAAAAAACAAAAAATGTTAACAAAACAGTTATATAAAATATTTCTTAATAATTTTCGCATTAAATTGTTGTCAATCAGTCAACATTACATAGAATACCGTGTTTTTTACACAATGTTTTCAATGATTGGTTTAAGAGAAAAACATTGTTGAATTCAGTTTTCCATATCGATACCAATCCTTTGGGATCTTTTGTGAATATCAATCACAAAGTTGGATTCATTGCTGGTTCTTCACCAGAATGATTTTAAACTTCAAAAAATAATGCTATTTTCGTATAACAGTGAAACCTGTCTAAGAGGAACACATTTTGTATCTCTAAAAGGTGGTCCACTTTGAAGGTGGTCCACTTATGGAGGTTTATTCAACATTGAGCCATTTGGTCTTGGGACTTGGAAAAGTGTTCCACGAACAGAGGTGTTCCCCTTCTAGGGTGTTCCACTTTACAGGTTTTACTGTATGTCATATATACATTCCTCCCGTAATGGATTATAATGTGTTCATTTACATTTCAAGATTTTTGAATATTTAAATGTTATGAGTCAATGGAAAATAACAAATGGGAAGAAGAAAAAGTGTTCGAATTAAGAGGTATTCGGATCAGTGAAATGTTCCAATATTCAAATTTCAATGTTGAAAATACATTGGTTTGGAAGACTAATTAACATCCTTAACGTGTAATTAGTATGATAAAACAAAGGCGGATGGACAATTCAAAAAGACGGCTAGCAACGACAAGCTCAGGAAATACCTCCCAGATTTCAAATTCACTCCTTTTAAACAAGGTAAGCGCAACAAATGAAATCAGAAGGTTGCGGATACATAATTTGGGAATTCAATAGTATGCTATTGCAAATCCTGCCATCTTTTGATGAACTATATAGAAACAAGCCACTTTCAAAATATGCGTCTGTTTATTTTGCTGTAAAACTAGATTCTGTCAAATAGATGGCATGATTTACTTGATGTATAGGGCAAAGGGTGTAACTTTTACATGTAGGGTAATGTAGACATGAGGAATGGAGTAACTGCTACACTTGTTAGAAATTAGAATATCGGTTTTCTGCCATGTTTGAACAAAATCCCAGGGAAAAAGTAAAATTGGCTCAAAAAGGAGGGTATGGTCACTAGAGTTGTCCAAAATGTGAGAACTTTTGAGTTCAGTCTTGTCCATCTGGATTTGGATTACCTATGACATAATAACATTTTCTGCGACGTTTTACTTCCCAATTCCAATGGGAAATTTACCGCCAGGGCCTTTGAAAAATGACACATTTTTGCATTTTTCGCTGTTTTTCACGCCTAATCCACCACCCAAAGTACTCTGTCTTCTTACTTTCTTATGAGAAATTCAGACAATGGCAGTAAAATGCAAAGTATAAGCAATTACAGTAACCTTTGATGTTCAAAAAGTTTGAAAATAATGCAATCAAGGGTTTCACTAGAATTCTTCATAACAGGCTAAATAAATGAGAACAACAGGCAAAATCAATGGAAATCATGAATTTAACATGGAAAAGTCCCTAAAAACAACAGGTAATTTTGTGAAAACAACTGGTGAAAATCGCCTGTTGCCTGCTGCTAATGAAACCCCTGGTATAATTTCCTAGTAATTGAATGAAAGAGAAGAAACTTCAAAAGATGCAGAAAATTGCAAGTTGTGAAATACAGATGGATTTATTGAATTAAAGTTAGCAAATTTATCCCTGTCATCCTACTTGTTAAATCTACGATGATGCATGACCTTGAGAACCTGAAAACAATCTAACTTGTCATTTGAAACTACAAATTAGAAAATATAGCCACTACTTTTAACACTTGTCTGTCATTACTAATTATCCCTTTTTCTTGTGTTGTGCTGTTTCTAATTTCTTGTGAATTCTCATATATCTTGTCAGCTTCTTGCTTGGATAGTTTATCAGTTTTAGGTTGTTTGAGATTCTTGCTTGGACAGTTTATCAGTTTTAGGTTGTTTGAGATTCTTGCTTGGATAGTTTATCAGTTTTAGGTTGATTGAGATTCTTGCTTGGATACAGGTAGTTTATCAGTTTTAGGTTGATTGAGATTCTTGCTTGGATAGTTTATCAGTTTTAGGTTGTTTTAGATTCTTGCTTGGATAGTTTATCAGTTTTAGGTTGTTTGAGATTCTTGCTTGGATAGTTTATCAGTTTTAGGTTGTTTGAGATTATTGCTTGGATAGTTTATCAGTTTTAGGTTGTTTTTGATTCTTGCTTGGATAGTTTATCAGTTTTAGGTTGTTTGAGATTCTTGCTTGGATAGTTTAATCTATTTTAGGTTGTTTGAGATTCTTGCTTGGATAGTTTATAATCTGTTTTAAGTTAACCTCTTGACTACCCAGGGTGAGGAGATAATCTGTCATGATATTTTTTCACTAAAATGCTCTTATTTACACAAAAATATTTTTAAAATGTCTATAAATGATTTCCGCCATCTAATGTCACTAAAATCAGCATCGTCTGTTCTATATGCATCTATATGTATATAGTAAAATGTCAAAAGCTGGCAAAAATGAAAAATTCTCTGGTTTCAACCGATTTTAGAACCAGGGATTTAAGAGTTTAATCCGGAAAATGGTCCTATGGACTGGCAATATATGGCTTAAAATTAGTGGGTTGTTATTTCACAGATTTAGTTAGGATTTAGAGGCCATCTGTCTCTCCTTTTGATTACAAAATACTACCAGTCGTTGGATTTGGTTAAAATGTTCTTGGGCAAAGGAATACATGTACAACTGAAGAACAAATGTTCTTAATATGGGCACTCCATTCAAAATAGCCACTGTTTATTTTTAAAATTGACATATTGACTCTGTGGGAGAGAGCCAGACCTTTGTGTTTATCGTGAAATCCAGAGTAATAGTAGAAATTTTTCAATATAATTGAATGAAATGTGTATGTTAAAATCATTGGAAATTTTGAACACAATATTACTTCCAGAAAAATCACATGTCACATTCTATTCCGGAAACCTCAAATAATCCGTATAATCTAATGTAGTTTCCGTTTATTGTAAAGATAGTCATAACTTCTCGTAATAACACCTTCTGCTGTACACTTGACACTTCAGTTCTGCGAGCTTATTTGATTTCCAGAATTTAATATCATTTTTTCAGCAATAAAAGGCTTATTTTTCTAACCAAGCAGTCATATCTTGGGAATTATTTTTAGGGGACAGTCAATTACTGTCACAGTTTTTCAGTTGGCTTTTTTTCTAACTTATGAGTCATTTTGAGAACAGGTCCATAGACTAAAAATGAGACTGAAAAAGTGTTCACATTAAAAGTTGTTCAGGTAAGAGAGGTTATCAGATAAACATGTTTCACTGTAGTTATGATTTACTATTTTTTCTATTTTCTCTTTTCAGCCATCAAAGAGTCGTGTGATTGGTTCATATCCAACTATGACATTGCTAGGAAGTAGATGTTGCTCAAATGATGTTTCTAGGAGAAATATGTTGCACAAAAAATGAATATAATTTGATTGGGCATACTCTAATATGTATGTGGACAAAAAATGAAAGAATACAACAGCTGACAACAATCTTAATAAATAGTACCAATCATTGTGCTTTCTTCTCCTCTCATCTTGAAACATATTCAACATGTCGTACTTTCTCCAAAAATTGCAATTGAACATGGAAACACACGTTATGATGATGTTGTCTCTTAATAACCAAGAACTGAAAGGATTGTATCTGTTCCTGCTCTGAAAGTATTTAGTTACTATTTATATTCAGTGAGGGGTACGACCAAAATGTCAGTTCCTTTCTGTATTTTCATTGTAACTCCAATTTAAGAAGCTGTTATTATTTATTTAATATACATTGTTTAAGATATTTTGACAGTATTGCCTATTGTTTTTGAAATAGGTGAGGCAAAATCAAAAATGGCTAGGCAAATCTAAATAGATGAGGCAAATTTAAAAACATTGAGGCAAATCTAAATACCAGGCAAATTATAAAAAAAAGATGAGGAAAATTTATGTAAGGGGGCATATAATACTTAATTCCTACTGTATAAGTTGAACAAATCTGGTAAAAATATCATATACACATGCCTGGCTAAGCCCCTGGTATTCATAAGGGTAAGGTGTATGTGTAAAAATGATCTCCCCTGGATTTTTTCTCAGGTGGGTGCAAAATTCTCATTTTCACAATTTAGACAAAATTGCCAAAATATGCCTATTTTCAAGATTTTTCTCATTTTCAAGTGGGTGCAAATGGATTTTCAGGTGGGTGCAACCCTATTTTAGAAATCTCAAGTGGGCGCTGCGCCCACCTGCTTTAATGCTGGGGAGATCACTGATATGTATAAATATGGGATTACAAAAATGAAGTTGGAAGTTTGTTTTATAGATGATTATTTTTATATGGGGTTAAAATATGGTTAAAGAAATGTGTTGGTTAAGTACTATATACTGTAAGTAAGTGTGGTGACTCTATAGTCTATAAGTGTGGCTCTTTAAAGTCTTATTTGATATAGGATTCTGAAAAATATAGAAAATATATATATAATGCTTTGAAATACAACCAGTTTGCATTTTGTGATTTTTTGTAGTGTATTATTCCCTGCTGATTTTATATTAATTGTATCCCTTCCCCATATATACATGGAATTAATGATATTGTCTTGCATTTACTTAATGTTACTTGAAAGTCAATATTTCTTCACGAACACTCGGCTATTCACAAGTACAACATTTGACAATGGGACATGTACATCATCTCAAATGTGTGGTTCTCTAAATATAGTTACTCGTTCTTTCCTCTGGTGTGTTCGAGCGTTAACATCAGCTGCCTCTAGTCAGATCGACTAACTAAACAACCTTTTTTGGGGTTGTCGAGTTGGCCGAGAGGGCTTGAGCGCCAGCACGTTCGACCTAGGCGATTGGGCGCCGTAACCACGAGGTTGCGAGTTCGAGACGTGTGTGCTCCTTGTATTTATTCATTTAGTCCAGTCCTTCATAAATTTGGAAAAATTAGAGATTACGTTTGGCACAATACAGTAAAACCTGTCTTATCTGAATGCCATTGGGGAAAATATTTCAAATAGCAAGTGTTCATCTTTCCAGATTTCCTAACATAGAAATCTGTGGCATATAAAAACAGGGCACAACAATGTTTGCACTGGGAAGTGTTCAGATTGTAGAAGAGTTTAACTCACAATTAAACGTATAAATAATTGGAATAGCTTCGGTACATATATACCCCTAAAAAGTGTTCCATTTTTGATATTTTACTTACAGAGGTTCATTTAACATTAGGTCGGTTGGTCTTGGGACATTGTATTTGGAGAAGTATCTAATGTTGTCATACGTCAAATGTTTAGCTATACTTTGTTTTATCTAGCACCAAGACCATCACTTCGTTCTAATTTTTATAATGGATATTACTCTTATCATATCCTGAGGTACCAAAGGTAGGGGTATTCAACTTAAAGTCTGTATCTGATCAATGTAGGTATTCAAAAAATCCTTTGATATTTATAGATTATAACACTCGGTCCACAAATGACTTATTTTTAGGGGGCGAGGGTTCATCATTCATTAGGGAGGATTCGCTACATGTACATGTTTTTAAGAGGACTGCCATTGAGTTTAATATTACACTGAGGGTTTCCAAAATACGGAGGGGGTGTCTGACCTGTTAACCCCATTGACATACATTCGAGTGCTATATGATTTTTGGCGAGACGAGTTTTAATCGAAAATACCAATCTGTAATTGAAGTTATTTCAATACCAATATATGAGAACCCAAAAGTAGTGACTGATTTTAAATAGGCGTTTATTATTACCATTTACAAAGTCGAATTGGTTATTACGTCAAAGTTGAATTCATTGAAGGACGTCCAGCCGCTAAATCGTCACAATAACAAATGTAATTTCACTCCTAAATCTCTTAATTGAAAGATACATTTCTGTTCTTTGAACTCGCAGTTTTCTCGTCTTGCTATGTAATTTTCTCATTTTCAAACGGTTCAAGAAGGCGTTATAGTGATCAATTTGAAACCTTCGCCCTCTTATTACCTTTTAACGTTCCATCTTTCAGCTTCTACGATTGAAAAGTGGTAGATACGTCTGTAATTAGAGGTGAATTCAAATGAATTCTTCTTTTAGCGAGTCCTAACTTAATTGTCTAAAAGGCTAGAACCATAACTACATTCATAATTGGATTATCACGTAAAGGGATAGGTTAAAGGCTTTCGATATGTAGAAAAACATGCACGTTTCAATTCGGATAATAACCCAGATGCGAGTAAAAATAATCTTGATTTACGTCATTAAAAATTCAAAATTCAGTCAAAGTAATATCATATTTGAAATCTACATGTAAAATTACATCTAGAAATGTGGTTTTAAAAAGTGTTAATCAACTTTGAAAAATTAATTTTCTTTGAAAATGTGACCTCTAGCTCGGGGAGATTCCCCATAGACCATGTAGACCCCATGCTATAAAATCACAAAAAATGAAATATCTTTTCTTTTAGAAAGGGGACAGATAATATTTTGCTTTACTGGACATATTTTCATTAGTATAAGTATCAGACACATAAGGGTTATAGAGCCATTTAAATTGATAATATTCAAGTTTAAGGGAACTTTCTTATATACCTGCCATGTTAATTGACCCGAATCAGCCACCTGGTGGTGAAACTGGTACCTACCTACTCGCATTTGGGTAATTGAAAACTAGCTAGGTCTATGTCACCATCTCATGCAATATATGCATATATATAACGAATGCAACCATATTATCACATGCAACCATAGCACGAAAGGAAAACGAGAGGGTGGTCAGATGTCCCCTGCCGTATTGAAAAGCGTTGACAGAATAGTTTAATCAATGGTTCATTTACCAAGACACACGTGACTTCAAATATATTTTACCAGTTTTATTTTTGGAGGTAGGCTATAGATGTAAAATAAAATACTTTGTTCTTTTGAAGGGCTACTCTAGTAAAATAGCAGGTCATTTTAAAGGATAAATCATGTAAAATAAAGTTATGATAGGGTTATTCTAATGACGCTGCTTATTTTTGATATCGATCGCTTACCAGGTTGTCGGTTGTTTTAAGTGTAACGCTATTATCTGCAAACAGGTTTCAACATTTGACACATGATGTGATGTTACATTATCTTTCAAGTTTCTTCCGTTTTATAATTAAATTTGAATGCGTATTTCATATTTGTGAGAAAGTAATAACATCTCTTCGAGAAAAACAATAAGATGAACGTTTTCCTCATATATCTATGCGAGCAATAGTTATCTGCGTGTAGTCTTTTGAAATACGAATTCAAAGAATGACTCAATATTCAAAGATTCACAATACACGAGACTAGTAAAACTCATCGGTACCGTCAACAGGGGTTCGTGTTACTGTTGAATACTATAACATTTTTTTGAACACAGGATCAAATATATTCTTTGATGAATGTTTATTTACTTAGTATTTGGCCACTCTCTTTCAATTTATCACTAACTAGAAAATAAGAGGGCAGAGTAAGGATCCTTGGAAAATACCAGTGTTATTGCATTTCTCATGTAAGATGGGCATATGTGTAGAATTGAATCGAACGCTGCAATAATATCAAAGTAACACATTATAAATGAGAAGACTGGTATTTAGCAAGAATTGCGTACTTTTGATCAAGATATTAGAAAACATAGTCGGTACCATTTCATTTCTTTCGTTTATTTGTTGCTCTCTCAATATAAATTAATAATTCAATATCATTTTATTACCCAGTGAAAAAGAAAAATTCCGCTCCGCCTATACATTTTGAGGATCATGTACACCAACTACATATATCACAGGCAGATCGGAGGGTGAGGGGGAGAGGTTATTAGAGGCCTCTCTTTGAAAGTATGTCTAATTTTTATATGAAATAAATTGACTGAACTATTTAAAAGTAGTTTATATTGAAGACCTGAAGATCGTTGTTCCATATCCTTTGGTCACCATGACTTTACTCAGTTACTACACGCCATATATTGTCAGAACAGTTATTTTTGTCTCTGGACTCGTCTTTGGTGGCAAAATATCAAGACGGGTGGATCATGCCCGAACACTGCTAAATATAGAACGTTGTTAAGGACATTACATGAAAAGTCGCAGACTTTGAGAAGGGATCGGAATTGTAAAAAATATAAAGTTAAAAAGGAACATTTTCCAAAAGATCAACTGCTAGGCTTGACTGTTGACTAGAAATAACAGTATTTCTGGACGCTTCTGGACGAAAGTAGGTATACTAGTACATGTAGGTCTCAGAGTGAAACGTTGATGAAACCAAAACTGTTTAATATTAGAAGGCTCAATGGCAAAATCAGATATTAAAAATGCCAAAATGTACTCAAAAAGTCTAGCTATCTACGACTTAAAATTACACCCTTTATCCAAAGCCGACAGTGCATAGCTGCTGTATCTCATACTTGAGTAAAAACCACAAGTTATATTTAACATTTTCGTATTATTGCTTTAGTTCAAAACAATGAAATTGTAACATTTAAGCTTTAAAAAAAATTGAACTTTTGAAATTTACAACTTTTGAAGTTTTTAAACTTTTTAAAATTCATGGGAACGGAATGGATATATTATATCTGCCCGCATTTGGCCTGGAGTGGGATATATACAATGTGCTACCTGCTCCTCAGATATGATATAAATTTCCGGGTGATATCTACCCCAAATCCACCCAAGTATGAGATACAATTTTATATTCGGTAGATATCGATTCATGCCCGCACGGGTCTTGTCCAACTACAAATAATTGTAAATACATTTTAAAGAAGGTGTATATACGAGACGCACTCCCCTCACAGATATTTGAATTTCTCAGTTATAAGTTCTGTATTTTTAAGCATATTTTTAAGCATACTTTAAGCATGGATATTTTCTGAAGATGGTATTTTCAAAAGATACATCTTAGCCAAACAATAGTGCCACCTACACAGGCCACCTGTAAAACTTTTGCCACCATCGATTTTCTTAATCATTTGTTCAACATTTTAATTTTGCCCAGATGTTGGGGATGTTTTTTTGATTTTCGAAGACTTCGAATTTCTATTTGTATATTAACATAGTCCCATGGAACCACACATCCGGGCCTCCAGTGCTTGCATACATCCGGGACCCCCAGCAAAATGCCCGCATCTATCAGCAACACTATGACAACAAGCAATACTGCGTTTCTTCAACGCATCTTTAAAGTGTATCCTTTTTTCGATATTGCGTTTATCGGAAACGATGGTGCCATCTTTCGGCGCAGCTATCATATTGTCCTGTTGTCGCCCTAGTATAATCTTTATCAGCTTCCAAAGTTTGTTATTTGCTCCGTAATCGTCATACCTGGATAAATAAAAGACATATAAACACTTAAAACGAATTCAATGGGATAGGAGGTCTGGTCGACAATAGATTATTCAACAAAAAGACTTAATGCAAGCAGAAATAGTCATTTGCATCATTAAAACAAGCTTTTAGAATATTGTATTGAATGTATGTAATATAACTTCTGAATAAAAAAAATTGAGTGATTTTACATTTGAAATCAAGCCACTTGGTCATATTTGTGATGGAACTGGATAACGTCCGACTTGCATCTGGGTTAGTGGTTTCAATCAAAGTAAGTCAGATGTAAGATAGGAAACAATAATCCCCGGAGGCAATAATTAATATTTCAAGGTGCATGTTTATTAGTAATTATTAAATTAACAAAAATGTATGTTTGATATTCCTCCGTTTGATGTTCAGTTCATATTAGACTTTTTCGATACCTCACTATAGAAGATGAGTCTAGATAAACGTGACCAGATAAGCCTTAAAGAAATCGAATCGTCCAGATTTCTATTCTGGACAATCATTAATGTCCCAATATAATTGCTCATAAAACATCATATATACCTTAAATATATCTTGGGACCAAATCATAAGCACGATATCGACAATATACTGAGGCTATCAACAGGACAACCAAAAGAACAACCAACTGTCAGAATTCAACGCAATAAGTCGAAAACAGAATACAATGTTTTTGGGAGATTTATCTATATTGTAACCCCTTAGAAGTAATAAATATGGCATCTCTGAGCCAAAATAATCTGAAGGAAAAAGCCAATCAGACTGTAACAAATTTGAGCGGGCTTTTTAAATTTAGATTTTAATTTCTATTGATGTAAGAGGAAACTCATGGCAAGGAACAATCATCGAATTGATACTGTTAACGAATTAATTCAAGCCTCATAATTGATGAGTTGATAAACAAACTTGTTTTACATCAAATAACACGAAAAAATCAGGGGGTTACTCTAATTGTGTTTTTTGGAGACCCGATCTCTTTAAACGATGGAAATTTTGGGTCATCAATAATACTTGGACTATCGCCCTCGTTTTTGATTATCTATATAAGAAACTAGTGCAAGAATCGCTCCACATTATTGAGTCATGCCTAAATTAACTGAAGAAATGGTAAAAGTGCAGTATTGTCATGTAATCGTTTTACATGAACTAGAAACTATAAATCTAAAAAGATACCTGGAGGGAGTCGAGGGACAGAAATATGACAAGTCATTAATCTAAAATGTATACCCCTTTACAGATTTTGTTATTAAAGAAAATCGATTGAGTAATTTAAAGCACTGATTCGTTTTGATAAGAGCATGTTCATTAATAAATTAATATTTTCATTTTTTGATCTGTGTGAATAGGAGTTCGAGTTGAACTTTAATGATTAAAGCAGAGCTAGTGATCGATTCTTTGGAACTGGTATCTACGCATTTGAAAGAACTGGTGTATATACTAAATAAATGGAGTTACCAACTACGAATGCCTACACTTGTGAGATCATTCGCAACTATGGATCTCTGTTGTTCGTTCTGCCAAATAGACCACGATAGGTTCGAGATTTCGTTGTTTTAACACCGATAAGAAAATATCTTATATTGCGCCATAAATCATATTGGAAACAATATCCTGGTCTTAACTCAAGATAGGCATCAAAATTCAGAGATCTCCAAATTCAACATCCATACTAGCATAGAAACTTGTTTGTAGCAAATGGCAGGTGGTGACTATATGACATATAGAGGATATCCTATGATTTATGAGTGCTATGATGTTTATCCATGAATGGATATGATATCTGCACGAGCGAGCGTAACTATTCCATAGTTAAAGTCAGCATGAGAATCGTCGGAAATTAAGTGATTTAATTTGAATTTTCCAAACAATCTGGCGATGTTGACACTTAGCCTCGTTTTGAGTCAGAAGTAGCAAAAATCCATTATTCATAGCATACGGCGCCGTATGTCATGGCTAAAACACCGTATGCTATGGTTAAGTGAAAATTTGTCAAAAATATCATATTTTACCACTGATTTCAAAAATACCGTTTTTATTTTGACATGTTATCCTATGAATATTATGCTAACTGTGGAATAAAGTGTAATACTCAATGTAATGACATTGGTTTTCAATTACAATTGAAATTCAAAATATTTTTTGATACAGTTTAATTTCCATTTATGAGTCACAGTTTTATTTGAAACTTTTAAAGCTCTAGCAACACCCACGCCGTCATCTATGCATCCTTTAGTATTGCAAGTGGTCAATTGATCGCGAAATACCGATATACCCTATTGTGATCTCAAAGTATCTCTCAAAAGACCCACAATATGTTATCAATCGGAAAAAATATTTCAAAGTATGCATTTTGAGTATTTTTAAGAAATTTACATGTCAAGGAATGCTATGAACTAAAACGTAAATCTAAAATTGAAACTAGGAAAATATGAATTAGATAATGTAGGCGCAGGTGGGTGACTACAATATATCACGAGCTGAAGACCCATCTAAAAACATAACTTTAAAAGCTCAGGGACAGAGTAACTCCTTCTGTCCGAGGGTTTTTAGTAAGCTATTTCATTTGTCAGGGAAAAAATAAGATTATGACATACACTCCCCTCCATAAATTTGGCAAAACCTGAAGTTTTCATTTGTGTTAAAGCCTGCAGATATTTGAATCTTTATTTCATTCCTTTAACACAAGACGTTGTACAATGGAAAATTATGACTTTGATGAATTTTTAAAAATCCCAAGAAATAAAAGGCTTCTAAATGTGATTCAAAAAGAAAAGTCCGGTTACAGAACTTATGGAGGAGAGTGTATTTTTCATACGTACCTGTCTATTGTCTTACGTGGATATGTGTCTTCGCCAAAATACGTGGGGCTAGATCTGCTAATACTATGACAGTTCACTGGAATGAAGAAAAGTGTTATGCGTAAATCATTTATGAACTTGAATTTTACTTTTATTTAGGAAATCAGTATAACGGCCGGTGTAAGAGGAGTACTTGTCCTCCAGAGATAATAGTTCCTCTTTTACAAAGTTCCAGATTGCCCTGGTTGCAATTAAAAAAAAAATTACTCAGTGAAAAATTTCCCATATTGACTTATCTTTGACTTAAGTCGTTTTTATTGGGTTTCAATCAATCACAACCAATGTTGGCCATAGAATGGGGATTATAATCACCGGGGGACTATACTTCCCATCACACACATTTGAATAACACTAAAACGCCAAGCTCAATGACAAGATTATTCTCTATTTATTGATTTGTCACTGCGGTGTAATGATAACTCAAATGCTACAATAACTTATGTCAAAATAACTTGCAATTCCATAATAACTGATTCCGCAATAACTTGAATATTACTATAACATTTGAAAATGCCAGTTGTGTCAAATGGTAAGAATTTTATCGAGATTATTTTAATTTGTTGTTTTTCCTGTATTATTTTGATTTCAATTTCACGAGTAGATTGAGTTTGCCATTTTAATGAACCCAATGAATGAATTCAAATTATTTAACTCCAGTAAATAATGATATAAACTAATTGTCTTACCTAATAAAAGAAAAGGAAGAATCGTCGAAATCCAAACATAAAGTTTCGGTCCGAAAACACAATGCATTTGTAAAATGTTATGCTAACCCCTAGCTTTTCAAACAGCGACTACTAATGCGATGTGATGAAAGTCCACTTATATTAGTATTTTGCAATATTTTCACTTATTTGTATATAATGTCGTATTTCTCCCTTATTTAAACTATTTTTTCAATTGAACTTCTGCTTCTTTAAATATTTATCCTTCTCTTATAGTCAAAAAATTAAAGTTGTAGGATGAGCAATGATAGCGTTACCGACATATGCCCGTCTCGACCGCGCCTAATTGAGAAAAACATCCAATTTGATAATCTCTTTATGTTCAATTGAGAAAGGTAGCAGTGATACACCCCATGCAATAAGTTACGAAATCTGAGCATTTACGTACGTAGTCAGTGATGGAATGAATGACTTTATGTATATTATTAAATGTGTTCAAAGCAAGGAAACGCGCTAATAATGAAACCTATAGCGATACTCTTTGTAAAGGGGGCATTTACAGGGTATAGGTGAAATTAATTAGTTGGGTTCAGTGGAGTTCCCCAATTTCGGTCGCTATACAATTAAAAAGATTAATTGTCAGTATTTTATGATGTATATGATGTTACAGATAAAGATCAAAACTAGTGGAAATGATGTGGGACTCGTGTGTCCACTTAACCCCATTAACAGTCAAACTGTAAACGCTGATTCTCGCGTGCAATACACACATTGGATACTATACAAATGTTTAATTGATAATAATGTACTCCCGGGGATATATAAGATAATTACACTGGACTAAGTCGTGGCTGGTGAATATAAAAAGATGTCGGCTACCGGATTATTCTACTATTTTATGGGTAACTCATTTAGATATGAATAGTTTCTAATATAAACAATTACAATCGATTTCAATTAGCTAATTGCCAAGGTTTTACAACATTAGCGGCAATTTAATATACAGTGCGTCCCAAAAAACGCAACAAAGAAAAACATTGTAAAATCATAAAACCAGTGATGAATAGATCAATTTTATTTTGTTTATCATGAAGCCACCTGTCTCCACTTTCCAATGTTTTTTCGTAAATGGGTGAAAGGCCTCTGTGCCAAGTTATGAAATATCAATCAACTGATCATTATTGTGCAATCAGAAAAATCATTATGTAATTGGTACTGGGAATTAATTTTTTGTCACAAGATTTACCTAACACAAGTTGTTTCTGCTTTAGATTTACTAAGAAAAAAGAAAAAATGAAAAGAAAATTTAACTTTAAGTGTTCATCAGTATCCTTAACTTGTTGGTTCACAGTCAACGAAACATAAAAAAGTGGCATTTAAACAGTCGTTGTCTGTCATCTTATGAACGATTACTCATGAAGGATTACATTCCATGCCCTTTCGCATGGCCACTATTTCTTTACACACTGAGACTGGCATGTGTGTCCATGTTGCACACCTCTTTGAATCATCTGAGGTTATGGCAGAGAGCACAACCTCATCGGTGATTCTTTGTTAACTGCTGTCATGTCTAAAACTTGGCCCAGAGCTTATATGAATAATTGACATACCATTGGAAAGAGGAGACATGTGGCTTCCTGGTAAACTAGTTCAAATTGATGTAATCATCACTGGTTTTGTGATTTTACAATGTCTTTGTTTGTTGCGTTTTATATGGGACGCATTGTATATGTATGCAAATATTAGATATGAAATAAAATGGTTGTTTGGGTTTTTATATTCTAAAATCCTTGAAGGTTATCCCATGGGCCGGGATGTTGACAAAAATAAAAAAAGATGTTGGTCAATGCCGAAAAAACGGTCACTATTCCATTCATATTCGAATGAGTTGGTCATAAAATAGTAGGTTAATCCGGTAGCCGTCAGCCGCTGTTTGCATCCACGAATAAAGGCTTGGAAACAAGAAACTGATAATCAGAAGAGCCTAGGGTAGCATTCACGAATTTTTTGATGGCTAACGAATTGCGAATATTAATTTTAATTTCTTGCGAATATTCCATGCATATTGAAATGAGGTGGCAACGACAAGAAGGATAAACTTTAACCGTTAGCCGACAGTTGAATTCGCGAACGTTACCTAAATCACACGAATGCGACTGGTGATTCTCCTCACGTAGTTACATAAGGAAACATTTTTCTCAATTCCATCATAGTGGAATTTGATGACGAATACGTAGAAAAATTTGACAACATCATCAATCATATCCGTATGGAATTCAATAGAGAATCGATGGTTTTGTCAAAACTGGAATAGCGTAAAATGGTCGAACTGATCAAACCTATTAATCAAACGAACCAAATCAATATTGTACTGACTTCCTACTAGCTACCCTGGGATCAGTGATTGGTTTTTGTAGAAGGAGTTGTAGATGAAGTGTAAATGAAAATCAGATTATTGGAAAGGGTAAACGCGAAAGCAACCAAAGTAGTTATGATTTCTTTTGGTTTTAACAACAAGGTTAAGCTGATCAAGTTCATCAAATACCAGTTAGCCTCATCTCAGTGAACCATTTCACTGCAGCCTAAGTGACGTTTCATCTACATCAAACGAATGGTGGTAGTAGCTTCCAAAAATTGAGATAAATATGAAGCATAATAGGGATGATAGTACGATAACGATTTTCCTATACCGGTTTTGTGAAACTACGGTCGCCGTACGGCCGCCGTACGACTGTCGTAGAGCAAATGTTCTGAGGCTCTCGATGTTATACTTTGCCGAATACAATCATATTATGTCGATCAAATTTCAGTTGCTAAGTCAGAATCGGAGTCATTTTAAGATTATGTACCGTTATTCCAGGTACACGTACCTGGGTTTTATTACACCAAATTTCCATGACTTGCCATGACAACCATATTTGGATTCGATACGATCTTATCAACGTCAAACTGTCCATCCTAGCTAGAGGTTAGTAAATTGTACTAGCTCAAGTCTCAGGGTATTGTTTCCATCAGTTTCTGAAACTACAAAGATCATATAATTATACACGCTTGTGAACAGCTACAAAGTCCATTTCTGGAACGAAGCGTCCTAATTGATTGGGAACAAGATCACAATTAAGAGGCGAAAATCTTCCAGAATCAAGATGAACCTATTTTCATGCAGAATATTTAGTTTTCTATAAAAAAGTGATTTTCTCCTTTTCTACCCGATCAGGTTGCCATCTGGTGTTTTACAAATGAATCGAGGATCAATATATCTAATATCATTTCAAAGTTGACTCATTTAGAGATGGCGGCGGAATGATTTGTCCTGAGGGATAGACTTTCTCTGAAAAACAGGCTGGTTTTATGGGCAGTGGTACGGTGTCATCAAGTCAATCCTCAAAAGTGTGGATAGTGCCCGTTAATGAGTAAGATGTTAAAATGGTTGCCCGTGGGCATTTCTTCTTCTGTCTCCACACCCGGGCCTATATATATGTTCAATGTTGAATTCTGAGGTATTCCCCATTCTTACCATGATCGATCGTACATGTATGAAATAAGTAAATCACCCATCTGCCCTAAAATGCACATTGACAATATCACCGATGGATGGATTTTTTATTGTATTGATCGTCCATTTTAGCAACATAAAAGTGAATACTTTAGATATGCTAACATTTAACGTATCTTTTACGTACCTGTGTCATGAGATATACCTATCTACCTATCATAACTTTTTGCTAAAAGTTTTTCAGACATTAGTGGACTGATGGAATTGTGAATAATTGTCGTGCTTTGTATATAAATCAAAGAATTGGGGATCTTTTTAATTATAGTAGGAAGAAGAGCTTTTATATAGTCATACGTTTTTGCACTAGACGTGAAATTACCCAAAATCACCTTAAAAGTCTAGATTTTATTTCCTGGTGGGTGTGGATTTCAAATCGAGGGGAAACATTTGATTGAGATAACCTGGATTCGCGACTAAGAAATAATATTGATTATATCTATATAAGATATAATCAATATATATTGAATGCATAATGGTTATGCACTGGGAGGTTTTGGATACAGGGAATATCCCGAGGGATATACAATATATCTTCCCGAGGGACCGAAGGGACCGAGGGAAGATGTATTGTATATCCCAAGGGATATTCCATGTATCCAAACCGACCGTGCATAACTGGTGTATCTCATACTTGAGTGGGTTTAGGGTAGATATAACCTTTTCCACCTTTTTCAGATGACAAGATATTCATATTGATTTTCGTAATATTCTTATTGTTCAATACAATGAAATTGTAACATTTAAACTTAAAAATTTTAATTTTAAAATTAAAAAATTAAAACTTTTGATATTTAAACTTTTTTAAACTTTTAAAAATTCCCGGGAGCGGGATGGATATATTATATCTGCCCGCATTTGGCCTGGAGCGGGACATATACAATATATCCTGCCCGCTCCTCAGATACGATATATATTCCCGGGTGATATCTACCCCAAACCCACTCAAGTATGAGATACATGATTATACGCTTTATCAACTAGCATGGCTTCTTAAGAAGCTGATGTAACATTTTCAATTTTTTATCTTTTTTATTTTTTCATGCTTCGGTGTATTAGCGTAGACCTTCATGGTGTATCCACATATAGGATATGCTGAATGTATTTGGGGTTTAAAAACTGCTAATTCTAATAATATAATGCGAACTTATTGTCATTTGGTAAAATGTTTAGATTAGGGATTACCATCTTCGCACGCTCCGGTCTTCACTGCGTTCATCGAGTGAACGAAGATGAGAAATAACAAAATTGGTTAAATTATTTTGCTGTAAAGCAAGTCAGCTAAAAAAAGTCGGACAATAAAATATCGGGGAGATGAGGTGTACAAAGAAGTGTTGATTATTCACCGGGAAATAATATCCTTGTGTTATACAAGAGAATATTCCAAAGTGAATGTTGTCCGAGTTCGTATGGTTGTTACCTGACCACAAAGTTGTGCATTGGAATTGGAACCCGAACAATAGTGCTTTTATTTGGACATGCATTTTAACACAGTAATGTAATTAACGTGTTTGCAGACCCTAAGGCCAGGAAATAAGTTAAATAAGTTCTTGTTTCTGCTCTCAGATTTCATTTCTATCAACCGGCCGGGCAGTTTTACCCTTTATCAGAGGACATGACGCTACCCCGGCCTTTACTCTTAATTATATAAAGGCGAGACATACCTCGATTATTAGTCAATAGGGTTCACGAGTTTTCACGAGAAAACGAGTCGTGGAAAAGTTGACCAAAAGTGGTGTGTGATTGATTTTAAAGAGTACTGTTCATTTTTTTACACAGCCACAAATACAATTGTTCGATACTTGTCTGGATAATTAAATATAAAATGATAAATATGCAACCAGGAGTTCTGTGTTCTACAGAGTAAATGTGGTGGACTAGTTCGAATTTGAATGTGTGTGTTAACAAATAGGCATAAGTCGCACTGGTGATTTTGGCCTGATCAACATGTTTACTTTATTTAACGTATGAGCTACAAAAGACCCTTTTAACTTCGTGTAAACCTACACTTGAACCTGAACGAACAGTCAAAAGAATAACAAACTTATTTATTTAACAATAATCGTAAAATGCCGGCGTTATTTACTTTTGCAGGAAATGGGAAAATTTCCACAAATATTTTATTTATCCCTATTTGTAAACACAAAATCGTAATCCAATGAACTGGGAATACTGTATGATTTGACATCGCTTAGAAACAAACACGCACATGTTTCAAAAGGAACTCGGAGTCAATTTCTGTTTTGTTTCTGAATGCATTTCGTTGCCGTGTACTCCCTTGGAAATCTTCACGAGTTCTGATCATGAGAAACACATACGTCCAGCCATATGGACAGACCGAAAACGCCATTTGGCCTATGTTGCAAATTGTGCAAGCAGAAGAGGGCACTAAGGATCTGTAAAAGCAGCACAATGATAAGAAGTACGATGGATAGCCATCATGTTGATACGTCTAGGGCATTGAATGCAGGTGTTGGAACTCTTACCCTCGAATCACGGTAAGTAGCCACCTCAAACTGACTATGTTGGGTAATATTTTCTATGGGGGGGGGGGAGGAGTCTGAAAGTTGAGTCCACGTGAGAGGTTGGTTGTTTCCAAGTAAAATCTGTGATATTAAATCTCGGCACGTACAACGAAACCCGTTTTTGGTTCACTTTTATTTTTTGAATTCTGGCTTCTTTCAATTAAACGTAATTTTCAAAATTCGTATATAATAGGCGATTAAATTACCCTTGGACCCAGGAGTATCATTCCTGCTTATAATCAAATACAGAAAATCCACCAATGATAGATACTAACTTCAACTAAATTCGAATTATATTTTCAGCATTGTCCAAAGTAAAAAGATGGAAGCACAAAAATCAAATCGAACGCCATTGCCAAGGAGTCTCCAAATTAGTGGTATCACCCAGCTTGTGGTAGATACCGAGTCTAAACATAAAACAGATGTGTTTTTATCCGAGAAAATACACGCAAAAATAAAGAGTCACACTTCAATACGAGAAAAATATTACAGAAATGAAAATATACTGAATCGCATCACACAGCGTATGTCATCGGGAAATCAATCAAGCAGACAGCAAAAGCAAGTTTTAGGGGAGAATTCGGAACCAGAGACAAGACTTACTCCTTATAAGGAATACTGGAAGATTCATGATACACAGCCACCAAAAGAGATGAACGCTAAACCTAAGGAGTTTTTAAATATTTCTACAAAACTTGAAACGCCAGGATTCACACCAACTGGGCCATTTGAAAACAAACACAACTCTCATGAGGGACTACGTAAGTCGACTTCTGCAAAACGCTACGTCGATAACAATGTTGCTCGTTTTAAGCGACGCCAGTTTGAGAGTCCGATACACAGATCTCTGACTGACTTGACACAGCTTCGAGAGGGAGAATGTCCCGATTGTAAATGTATCTCGCAACAAGCTATGCCAATCTCAGAGAGAACATGGTCACAGTCCCTAAGCTTACCGAGTCTTAGCACCGACCAGAACCAAACAATTGATACACATTCCAAAAATGTTTATTTAGAAATCTCAAAAAGAGCGGAAAGTGTTAAAGAAATTACAAGCAGCGATCATTATGATTCAAATGACTCAATTACTCATTCAAACGATAGCAAAGCGGGAGATAAGAAAGATAAGTTGGACAACGTGGAAACAAAATACGATGTAGATAATGTTGATACTAGTTGTGATACGTTTGATTTTGCTGATTATGAAAACACATACAAAACTGAACAACATAGTGTGTCAATTCAAGAAATGAACATTACAAATAAAGAGAAATTTCAAAAAGTTCATACAAAAGGAATTGATACATCAGTTAAAATAGATGGTTCTTCGATAAACAATTCGAATGCCTTGAAGCACAATGTAATTACAAACGATCACATAGAGATGTCAGATTACTCATCTATTACTCGTAAGCTAAGACAAATACGACTGAACGATGGTAATGTTGAAAGAAATGTTAGTTGTCGAAAGGAATCAAATACTCTCAATTCAACGTTAGAAGCATTTATTGATGACGTAAGCGATTCGGGCAGACGGTTTGTGAAGTCTCGTTATAACGGTATTGGTATTAAAACGCCGCTTAAAGAAAAGAAACCGAATAAATTAAAAGTACCATGTGCAAAAGAAGGCAAAACGTTGATTCGAAAAATCTCCGTTCCAATCGACGGGGATAGGGCAGTTGAAAGGGTTAAAACGTGCCTCGATGTTTTTCTACCAACCACAGATACCAAAGATCAAATTATCTAATACTTGAAGCTAGGGTGGGTTTTTTAAAAAAGAGGTCAAGTAAAAAGAACTGCCACGCAATTTAAGCTAGATAGCATATCGTGATAGAATCCTGGAATCCGGTTTTATAAGATGAATCGCATTTTTTGTTCAAATGTAAACAATAAGATGGTATCATGATCAGAAAATCTCAATATATGAATATGAAATATATGATTGACCACCAAAAATCAATTATTCTATCGACGAGTGAGGGGATCATATCAAAAGAATGACACGATCATACATTATTTAATGATTGGTAGAGATATGATCCTTATTTCAAAGTAACATTATATAATGTAATTGTGAAGAATATCGTACGATTTCTATTTTCTTTACTTTATTACTAATTTTACTGTGATTGTAAAATTTTATTGTTTGATGTTCGTTTGGCCTTAATATGGCATCAGAACAACATCCTATTATATAATTATATCGACCCTGTTAAAACTTGTCAAACGAAGCTAGTCAAAATTGAACAAAAACGTAACCTTGAAAAAAACTGGAGATTGAAATAAATTGAATTTAATTGAAATAAAGACCAATGGTACTGTTTAATCCGTCTTGGCATTCTCGACTGAAAAAATTGTTAAGGTTGGCGTAACCAATAACTAGAAGATGCATACGTCAAAGAAAGTGAATCCATTCATCATATGAAAGCAAAAATCAAAGATATTGAAAATGACAAAAATACAATTCTATTCCTGTTTTCAATTTAAGATCTGAAAAAGATCCATCATAGACTTTGAAATAATGACGTCATTGAAGATTTAAAAGTCATGATGACTTCATAAAGTTTCAATACTCTCTAAACTGAAACTCCTGTGATCTCCACTAATGCCTGGGTCACATATGCTCCGATCCATCGGCCGGCGCCCGGCCGATTGAGTGTTTTGTTCAATATTGTATTCAATTTTGAACAAAATACTCAATCGGCCGGGCGCCGTAGTGAAAATCGGAGCCTATGTGACCAAGGCATTACCAATCTGTAGCCGTAATTGGCAATCGTAATTTTAGCAAGAATGAAAACACAAAAATCTTAACTCTGACTTCTGCCTTTATTAAGAGATGGCTTACCCCATATTGAACAAGACTATTCTAGAACCTATTGTACCCTGCCTTGTCTTGAAAATATAAATTACATCGTCCCTCTGCCCTGTATTCCCTCAGTCCCAGCCCAGCGCAGACCCCCCCCCCCCCTTCCACCCCTCTTCAACTTTTTACCCGCTAGGCTAGAGTGCTTATAATGCCAAAATGGTGATTAGCACTTGAATATGCTCTCTTGTATTTACTATATTACCCCATGTACATTTATTTTATAAAACTAAATAAAAAAGTCATAATCTATGAATACTGGTTGTCATGCTAGCTCTCTAAGATGCAGATGGATGATCGCAAACTATTAAACATTCCTGATACTGAATATAATCGTTAGTATATAATATTTCATTATGTGTTTAGATATCTAAGTATATTTTATTGCCAATCAAATTGCATTGCTTTGAATATGGTATCCTTGTATTTTAGATACAGATACTAAGCAAAATGCTGAATAAAAACGAATTTTCGACCTCCATATATGTACATGTATGCTGCTTACTTGTGCCATCCTGGGCAATATACGTTTACTTTTATTTATCATCTATTCCTAAAATAACATCTATTAGTATGGGGTTTGTATAGCGCTATATGTGTAATGCGAACTAGCATCAGATGTTTCTTTTAATTAGATTAATTAGAAACTCGGTGTTAATAATCTATTGTTAGTCAGATCAAAACAGAGACGTCGTATAATTAAAGAATGATATATGTACGCCTGTGATAATAGGTAAGTAGCTATCGTATGGATAGATGTAAAGAGTGCTTTGTGTACGTGGTTTATAAATTAAAGGGCTTAAAATGGAAACAATCTAGCAAAACAAACGTAATTTTATCCACAAACGTTTAGTAGTTTACGTGTCACTTTTCGTGATATAGAGTATATCGGAAACCTCAATAGCAAGGTTTTATTCAATGGTTCTGACAAAAAAACGTTACATAGAAATTAATAAACTAAATTAATAAACCTAAATTTCTTAAAGGAAATATAATGTCAATTGGCAATGTTTGGCAATAATTCGGTTTGTTATGTTTAGTTTGACAAAAACGACATTTCACTCAAAGGACCAGGTCTATTATGGTAAGTCATGTTTTTATGAAAACAATATGTTTTCCTTCAAATAAAGTCCTAAAAAACTCCATCTTCGGCACAATTGAAAATTGGACGGATTTTAAATTGCGATGAAGTTAAAAACAACCATGTTATTTTCCCATTCTATTAATTGTTTTCATCAACATTTTGGTCATCGAAACTTGATATCTTTAAAACTAGACTTTCAACACCATTCTACTTTTGAAGAAGTTTTAGACCCTTGTTAAATACTCTTAACATGCAATGAAAATCAGAAAAATATCCTCTTGAGTAAATAGGTTCGACCATGGGCTAGAGCCCATGGTTCAACATTTTGAAAATGTTTTCGAATTATTCGATCGAGATTTTTATTATCCTTGAGAATTTACTCGAAAGATAACATCTCGTGTCAATGGGAAATATAATATACAATTATTGACCTCTCCAGAGGTTTACTGTCAAAATTATATCCCGAGACTGTAAACCGAGACCGTAGGTCGAGGTTTACAGTCGAGGGATATAATTTTGACAGTAAACCGAATGGAGAGGTCTATAATTGTTTTGTTAGTCCGAAGAATATCTTAGATTTTTCTGACCCTTGAAGTTGACTTGAAGTTGGATCCAGACCCTCGAGACCTTCTGCATCTGCCACGGCAGTAAGTTCACTCAATGGAGTCAAATTACTCTCCTGGGCGAAGTCCACTAAAAGCTTTGTACAAAGTTTTAGATTTTTCTTCGTATTTTGACTGTCTTTACCCTCTAAGAGACTAATAATATCCTCATCTTCAACATTTTTGAAACGGCTAGTGCTAGCGGCGGCCATTTTATCGTCTGATAATGACGTCATTTTAGTGGAATGCCGGGAATATTATTCACCGGCAATGCATTGCGCGGTGTACAGTTAAAATTATTCACCGCTCGTTGACCAATCAAAATCGAGTATTTCAACTGAGGTACTAACAATACTTATTATTTAAATTCAGAAAGTACTCATGGTGAAATATACGACCGTCTAAAAATCACTTGCCATACTTTACCTGGTCCTTTGCCGTTAAAACAGCATAACTCCCCTATAACACCAATCACATTTGTCCTTTTTGAGTCCTTATCTATAATACACATAACTAAACCTATTTTGACCTTATAGGGAAAGATTTTCGCGTCTCCTCTTTTGAAGAGGGAACAACGATTTCGAGAATTTACCTAACTAATCATACAGTAACACAACAAACTGAACCTGACGTAACTTAACAAACCCATCTAATGTAGCCTAACCTAACGGTGACGTAACTTACCAAACTCATCTAATACAGCCTAACCTAACGTCGACGTTACTTACCAAACCCACCTAATATAGTCTAACACCTAACGTAGCCTAATCTAACTTATCCTAACTCAACCTTTAATCGATTTTGATAATTTGATTGTTGTTCCAATAATCTAATTCCCTAATAAATGAAACAAAGAATATATAATAGATAAGCATACTTTAGCAGGACGTTTCATTAAAGTAGATGGTGTCAGTATATAAACTGGTAGTAAAAGTGCTACAGTCGTTTACAGAGGCGTTATAAGTGCTGATAAAGGTCTAACTCCAGTCGGCGAAGGTGCAACCGTTGTTGATAAATATGTTACAATTGCTGATAAAGATATAATAATTGCTAACACACTTTTACTTTGGATTGGTTAAAAACATATATCGATGATAAATAGCTACCATTGATGACTTTGTTGATGATGATGTTTACAGTGTTAAGTGTTCTGATATTAATGATGCCTAGAACAGAAGGATCCAAAGAAGAGTCCAAGTGGAGAGATATTTGTACAATACAACCTACCATCATATCACACGCGAAGTTCCTGAACCGATCAAGTTCAACACTGATTGCGAAAACAATTATCAACTCAGCGATAGGCTATAAAGAAAGCACTTGTTTTGAAGTAAAGGTTAGCCTCCCTGATTTAAAGAACTCCGACGTCGACCCCGATTACGCCAACGTGACGCTATTGTATAGGCTTACGTACGAGAGTATACAACACCACCATCCAATGGTAGAGAAGTATACTTTTGCCATTCCAAAACTTACATGCAAAGGTATGACGGATTGTCCACTACTTACCGATTGGTGTTATTACGGGAAAGATGTCTGTAAAGGTAACACGGACACCTGCGTGAACAAATATTTTCCCAATCAGAAAGCAAGTGGTTGCTTTACGACGTTAAGTCACGATGCAGAACTTTGTACCGGACTCACCGTACAGCCTCAGTCTTATAAACGATATGTTGCCTACTACGCCGGTGTTCCGGAAACATTTGCACATTTTAAGCTTCAAGTTTTTGACGCTAACACCGAAGAGACAATTGACAAGACGCGGTATTTTGTTGTTAACCTCAACCAAGGTGTACAATCTCAAGCTGATAGTATGATACGTTTAGATGTTCAGAGTGCTGGGCCCACTCAGGCCATTCCAATCCAAATGTATTTCTCTGAACTTGGGTCAACGGAGGTGCTTACAAAAATCCCAATGAACAATCTCAACGAATGGGATTTGGACAAACTAGGTTGGTTCAAATACCAAGATAATAAATTCATTTTTGATAGAACAAAACTATTTGAGGCATATGGGGCAAGAATAACCTGGGCGCCATCGAATGAATTTACATGGTGGTTTGACGGGAAGTACGTAGCCTATAGGGACAAAGATGATGTCATTGGTGACGCGGATACAGTTGGAAATGTGTATGATTTTGTAGATGACGCCGTCGCAATTGATCGCCATGTTATAGTTACACATCGTGAATCTCCACGTATGGACATATTTCTAATGCTTAACGAGCTTAACGACGTTCTTTTTCATTTTGATCAGTCCAGAATGACAGATTTTAGAGCAAGTATAGCCCAAGATAAGTATTCAAACAAGGCGTTGGTCGTAACATTTTATAGGACATCCGGGACTGTATTAGGGCACATCCGGGACTCTTCAAATCAAGACTCTCCCATTCAGACGAGGTTGAAATTCTATGTGGATTCTATCAGCGTTGTAAGTGACGTCAGAAAATACCATTCCATACCAAGCGACATAGACTATGACTGTTACGTATGCTTACATCCTCTTTCCAAACCAGAAAGAGAAATATGTAAAATAGCACGCTACAGATCAACACCACTTTTAAAGTTCACAATCCCTTATAACACCAAGACTAAAAGAACAGGAAAAAGTGACGCAACTGAAAGTAGTGCAACTTGGAATTGGTTAAAATATATCAATCCGCGTGAATGGCTGAATGGAATTGATGAAGCTGCAGAGGTTATTGTTATCACATTCGAAATCATCATTTGGGTCATCATTCTCGTCATAATTATCATCATTGCGAGATGTTTGTGTGGTTTATGCAAGTGTATTAGCTGCTGTACTAGATCAAAAAAGGTATGAATAAAATTTATGATTTTGTGTTTTCATAAAGTATTTTTAATCTTAATTTTAAGGACAAGTGAATGTCAGAATAAGCCTGACAATGCATCACACGTGTAAACGAAACCTCGGCGTATTCTTGGGACATAAGAATTAAAAACTGCATAAGTGAGGGTCTTTTCAATCTTCACCTAAATACTGGTACATTCTTAATTAATTAAGAGTCCCCAAAATAATGTTTCCTGAAAATAATGTGTTTACTTGTGATATAAAAACATGTTCAAATGGAGCTATATTTATACACACAGCAAGTTGATACACCATATTTATCAAGCTGTCTCCTGTTAAACGCGTGATATCTTCTTGTAGACTGAAAGAAGTCATCCAAAGTATGCGAAGTGTAGGCAGGTGGGAGAGTTGGTAGAGATGTGGAACACTCGTGCACCAGTACGCATGAAACACCCTTCAACACGTCCCAAGCCAACGCACGCCGCCAGTAAAACAAGTTTTGGAGCGTCTCCATCTTCAACACACGACCTACATGTATAGTAATACGCGAGAGAACTGATTCATTACAAACGAAGGTGTTTAAATCACGAAGATGGCCGAAGATACTCCGAGGAACCAATCAAATTCAAATTGAAAAATAAGGGTTTGATCTTCGGCCATTTTCGGGTTTAGCCATCGTTACTCCTCGTGCTCCTAGTTCAACGCGTTCTAAGTCGCTACATGGATTTGTATAACCTGCAGTTCTGATGGCAGAAAAACCATTTTATTACTGTAAAAGTGGCAATTTTGCCTAATCATTTAATTTTCCTTTTGCCTATTTTTGCCAGGTTCGGAAAATTAAGTGTCGGAACTATTTTCTGAAAAGTAAGTGTCGGAACTATTATCTTCACTATTTTGTCGGGGAAGTTTCTTGTCATTAGGAAAATTAAAATTAGGAAAAGGAAAATGTTAAAATTTGACCTTTCGGCAATTTAACCACTCGGAATAAATACCACTTATACGGTAATATGATCAGTGGTTAAGGCTGCAATATTTTAAATTCTTAATTTTAGCTCATGAACTTTCCAAACGTCCCCCCCCCAAAATAAATTTGACAGCAGGAAGCTCCACTTTGTTCACTTTTTGATCACTTATTAAACCCTGATTGTATTTGACAATGTAGGGAAACTCATCGAAGTCATAAATTTCAGAAATGTTGTATTTACCAACAGAATTAAGATTTAAACCTCGACAGACTTCTCTATGATATCCAATAAAAAAATGGGTGCCAAACTTATGGAGGAGGGGAGTGTATAAATTTCTCTCGCAATTTCTAATACATGAGTCGGGATTCATTTTCTATAAAACCACATGACGTAAGTGACACCTTTTAAAACCGATTACTTTCAAATGATGTGTTACTAGTAATCAGGGTTTATCTGTCTTGCTAATGACGCCATTGTCAGAAAGATTACAATGTTTTAATTATGATTGAAAACTTGTATTAAACACATTTGCCACTAAGTGGTTTGAAATAGTTTTAAATAGCTTTTCCTTTTACATGTCTACGACAGTAATTGCATTTCATTTTAACTAAAAGATTATTAGTTAAACATGATTTCAAATTAATAATGTCATGGTATCATGTCTGTTTTTTGTCAATGCTTAACAATAACCTAGATGCCAGTAGGTAGTTACCTGTTTCACCACCAGGTGGCGAATTCGAGAAACAAAGATAGCGTTTTCGAAGGTCAAGTAAAGGTCACATCTAAAAGTGGTTGGTTTACCTGACCAATTCCTTCAAGACAGAACCTTTTATAAGATCTTTTACACTTTAAGTATTACAAAACAAATACGCCTGATAGTGGCTTACAATGGCGATTTTGTGCTTTTTGTAAGATGAAATTAAAAACATCACGGGAGTTTTGAAACTCCAAGAAGGAATGGATCACAGGCTTAAAACTTGATATTCAACCTTGAGACCTCGATCGACGACAACTATTTTCTGACATAATAACAGACTATAAATTTATAATCAACATTCCAAAGGATTTGAACTAATATCTTGATTACTTCATGTATGTTTTAATTTTTGTTTTGAAATAAGATCTGAATTCGAGATTCAAATTCTGAGTTGGAAAAAATCGCGCGGTGTAGAGAGCCAATCCTCCTCGAGAGCTCGATATTCTAAAGCCATTAATATGGCCTATTGAGGGACTGTTAATAAGTATGCCATTTGTTAATTGAAATCATCAATGTTGAGGAAGTCAAGGAATTAGATGACCAATAACTTCTTTCATACAGAGACGAGAACATTTTTGGGCATGCAAGCTTTATTAAGCTATTCAGACATATAAAAATATCATATACACATCAAGATCATCATCTTTTATATTCATTTTTAGCAAATGCTAGTTCGAAATTAAACAAGTCACGGAGATGAATCCAACGGTTTGGCTGGAAACCTGTAGACAAACATTGACAAACAAGATTTTGGGATGGAAAATCTAAAACGGCCGCCTTAACATTTACCCAGAATACCTAAACACTAATAAGTTCTAAAATTGTATAGTTAGAACATTCCTGGAAATTTCAAATGAATCCCTGAAACGGGTTTTCTGGAAACCTGTAGACGAGCCTGGACAGACAAAATTTTAGGACGGAAATTCCAAAATGGCCGCCCTAAGATTTTCCCAGAATGACCAAAAACTAATTAGTTCTAAATCTTTACACGTAGAAACATCCCCGAAGATTTCAGATGAATCTTGCAAACGGTTTTGCAGGGAAAATATCATATCGCGTAAATATGTCTATCTACGACATACAAACTACAGGTAGCTGTCGGGTTGTTTCACAGTCTTAAATATGACGCCTTAGGATTTGTATATGAATCTCAAAAAGTCAAAGTTATTTTTCCAAATTCTCTAAGAATTCTCTAAGAATTTCAAAGCGTTCATGTGACTGCAACTCAGTCAAGTGTCAACAATTCAAATGTCCTAATTTTTCCCTTGTCTCATTATAACCCGTTGTCCACTAGATTTTTACCGTTGAGTGATTAGTTGCATGATCGTCGTACGATTGACAAATCAAGCTTATTGACATCACGGTTACGTAGGGCAAAGATCTGTAATTGAATGTCATAAGGCAATGACCTGTGTAATTGAATCTAATTTGCAAGAATTTGTGTCCACTATTTTGATTACTGTAACTGCAATTAGCGCCATCTATATCTTGATGTGGAACAGTGATATAGAAAAACCAAAGGGTCTTGAAAGTCCATGAGAAAAACTGACAAAAATATTCATGTATGGACACATCTAACGACCAACTTATAAAGTTGTCTAATTAACCTGTTGCAGGTATCAATATTAGGAATTCTATGTCCTCTAATTATATGTAATGTAAATCGTGATTATACGTAGGTATTCATTTTTCTGAAGGCACATTAATGTCCACTACTTGTTTTGACAAAGTCCCATAGATCCACACATTCTGCCTTGTAAGGCCTCGATACAACCATGCCCCCATTTGTGCATTGAGCATGCGTCCATAACGTTTCTGCAGCATGCTTCGTGCATGTCTCGTTTCGCATGGTCATCACGGCGTTTTTGGAATGTGTCTAGTTTGTTTGCATCCATTGCGTCTTCGTTCGATTGAGCTATGCGACTATTAACAGTAAAACCAGGAGAGTATTCGACCAGTCCCGCTGACAGCATCTTCCATAGCAGGCTATCACCCACATCGTAACTGAAATTAAGTGAAATATATGATATTTAGAAAAACGCTATCACGCGGTATCTAACTTCGAACGTTAATTTGAATTTTTGACCTACCAGTGGCTTGAAAATCAAGGATTGCGAGTCTCATACTGCACCGTTTTACTTATACCATTAAAAGCAAAACAAAATTGCCTTTCTGTCGGTGCATTATTTTATTGTAAAGAGTCTCCCGTTCTAGCAGCGTTTTGGTCCCAAGTTGTTAGAAGGCCTTCTTTCAGCTGGGGACCAAAATGCCGCTGGAAGTAGCTATAGGGACGCTGTTTAAGAGAATAATATACCAACATAAAGGGATTTTTGTTTTGCTTTGAATGGAACAAGTTTGAAGAAAAACGGTGCAGTTTGAGACTCGTAATCCTTGATCTTCAAACATCCGGTAGGTCAAAAATTCAAATTAACGGTCGAAGTTAGTACCGCGTGGTAATATATAATTGTTTTAATTAACCTAATTAACATCCTATACAATACGATGCGTTGTAATATTTTGCAGAAAAATATACTTCCCAAAACATTAATAAATAGGAACAGGTACCTCAACGTCAGAACAAGTATACTTTATTTAAAAACGTTGATTTGGTCAATTGCACTTACAAGAACATCCATTGGGTCAAATATTCAAATTAACGGTCGAAGTTAGTACCGCGTGACTATGTAGTATAACCGGAGATTTTTAGCATGTAGTGTGACGACTTCACAAAATTACGTAACTTTCATAATGCACTGGATACTCTGAATCTAACAGGGAAATTTTGATTTTCGTTCTCAGAGAGATAACTCACATTAATAACTGATCATGAGATAGTGCCGAGCCTTATACTTTGGCCATATGAAAGGGAATCAAAGTCAGGCAACATACAATAAAAAGGAATATTATCAGAACTCATCTTGCACAATAGGATAGTTTCTAAATAGCAGAAAAATCAATGAAATCTAGTGCTGCCATCTTTTATTCAGCTTTTAATTTGGGCTAGAGTTCCATTCACTTACATGCTAAAATCTTGGAAAAGTGGCTAAATTTCATGATTTATTAAAGTGTGTTATATTAGTTGAATCTGTATAAAACTTGAATGATATACCACATGATGACCCTGTTTATGTACATGTTGTGATTAAACATGCAAATGTGGATTGACATTCAAATAATCCAAGGTATTTTTTATAAGAATGGTTAACCATTTATATTATTAGGGAGAATTTAAACATTTTACACTCATTTTTGCACTTTGAATCTATGATAACTTCATTATAACATATCTTGAATCTTTCGGGAGATGTATTTGAGATTGTAATGAATAGATTGGTAGTTCAATTATACATGTTGCTTGTAATTTTGTCACCCCTTTAGATCTGATTCTGCCTTTAATAAGCAATAAATTCGCCGAGTACTTCGTTCATCAATTTTTCTAAACATTTGAATTTGCAAAAAGAGGATTTGGATCAACGGTGCTACAAAGATCGGTAGATTATTTTACAGTCGTATTTGTAAAACAAGTGAAAGGTTCATCAACTTTATTAAATTCATTTTTACAACTCACGTATTTAAGATATCACTTGGTCGACCCTCGTTGTTAGTTATGTGCCTGCTCGATCCCGTTACTATACAGCTGGCTAGAATGCAAGAAAAAAGTAATACATAGAGGTTATTCAATGGGAGGTTTTTGATATACGGAATATCTGCATATCTGTATTATTTTATATTTATATTTAGTAGATTATGAGGGTTTGTATTATTCTCAAGTCCCCTGGCTCCGTATCTACTCTCTGAATTTGTGATCGGGACGTCGTAGATTTGATGAGCGGGTGATATATAAATCACCCGCTAAATTCAGATAATAATTATATAACCGCATGTTATTTATCTATAACAATACAAGGTATGGAATAAACATGATTATTGGATACTTGTTTTATTGGTACAAACTCAAATACAGAGTAGGCAATTTTTCGCCACATCAAACCATCGAATATCACTTTTCAAACCATCGAATATCACTTTTAAACTATCGAATATCACTGCTTAAAAACTACTGAAAAAGTGATATTAGATGGTTTGAAAAGTGATATTCGATGCTTTCGAATTTTTTCAAAAAAAATTTGGTTCAATTTTTAAATATTTTTTTCCCAAAATATTTTTTTTCAAAATTTCTTTGCAACATTTTTTCACATTATTTTTTAAATTTTTTCACTTATGACGATTTCCTATGAGATATACGGACAATCTTATAGTTTTGAAAAATTATCAATTATATCCACTCATGGATATTTATATCTTCACTCATTCGCTGCACTCACTCATGAAGATATTAATATCCACTCATGGATATAAAGGATATTTTTTCAAAACCATAGGATATTTTTTTATAACGCATGTACCCTCCACCTGATTTTGTGTGGTACAATTGTTTTAATAAACCACTAGTCGTTCAGCTGCTTTCTACGTAGCCTTACATTGTAATGGGATTAGCATGCTGATTTGTACGTAAGTGCTAAAATCAAATAAATTGATCATGACTATTATCTTTAAAATATCCCACTACATTATCTTATTCTATTCAATTAGATATAATGAAATAAATAGACACGATTTAGGATGATAATCACAACGCCTTTCCCTTAATCAATAACTCTCGATCATTTAACGAGTTCAATGCTCCGTCTTACTTAATACATTCCGATAAAATCTGCAACGTCAGCGTATAATACTGATTCTCTATACCAACCAAATCAAACAATGATATATTGCCACTGATTAAGTATTCATGAGCATTAAGCGCTTCATTCGATACTTTATCCAATCAATTTGCAGAACGATATGATCACGTGAAAATTCAAGAGCGCGTGTTTGCTACGAATCGAGCATGTGCAAAGTAAAACATAAAATCGTCTCCTTGTTTATTTCAGTTGAACATCAGTTGAATTCTTGACTGCGGTAAAACTATTTCAGCTACGTCAAGCGAGTAGATAGCGTAGATTATTTCCCGGGGATTATTTTCGTCAAGAATAAAAGAAAATAAAACGGTAAGAAAGCCGTAATTTTATATCTGTCGTGAGCATTTTGCTTTCAATACGCTCATCATGTTCCCAGTACATCAAGGAAGCATTCAGTTGTTACAAATTGACAATCAAAGCTCCAGTTTTCAATATTTAAGTGGGGGTTGTCATATTATAATAATAATGATTTCGTTTTCATTTGCCATCGAAAACAGTTTCCAGTTTGTAAGACAGTGAAAACCGCATTCTTTCCGGTTAAGGCTTATGTAATAAATGGAAATTAAAACTCCATCTTAAATCTGTTGTTATTACTGTCAAGGCCCATCCGAGCATCATAGGTTAACCGTAGAATCTTTTTCAAAATCAAAATATTTCTTTGATGGATGGCTGTCAATTTCGGAATGCTGATATTTGATGTCCTTCGAACATGATGAGCGTATTGCTAGGTAAAAACACTACAAAACGTCCACATGCTACCAAATGAAATAACACTTAAGTTTACCTGTTTTTCGAACAGCAATACCCTACGCGTTTTCACACCCAGTACGCTCATATTGTCCGATGCACCTGATACCACCCACCCAGATTGTATTTCAGTGAAAGAATCGATTTACTTCTTTCACAAACAGAGAACGAGGGCGATAACATGATGCTGACAAATGAATTTTATACCAAGGAATCCCATTGCCGCTAGCAAGAAGAAACCACCTTAATGCAGAGGGAATTGGCATGAACTTATTTTCAATGAAATGGTAAAAGCCCAGTTCTAATAAATGACTGACCACCTGTGCCTACTTGAAATTTCCCCGAAGGGTGTATATACCAGATTGCTCAAAACATCATATATTGTCGTTTATAAACACAGTATAATACTACACAATCATGTACTTTTCATTTTTACATAACTATATACATATACGTATGAAGGAGAATGACGTGTTCCTTCATGTAATGATATTATACATGGGGCATGCCATCGGTCTTTGATGAAATTCGCACACTTTCTGATCTACAATGTACATATGATAAGAAGTGCGATGTTTTAATGTTGCAACCAAGCATTTAACGTAAAATATGCGATAGTAAGAGGCCATGTTGATGAAATACCATTCTTCAGTTTATTTGATTAAGGAATAAATAATGATAGGCCATTCAATATGGTGAAATTCAGCACGAGTTGGACAGAATGTTTTACAAAGCACGAACCGAAGGTGAGTGCATTTGTGCTAACATTCTGTCCAACTTCGACCGTTAATTTGGATTTCTGACCTACCCGTTTTTGGGGGAAATCAAGGATTGCAAGTCTCTGTGTACCTAGCTAGCTGTGAGAAGGGATTATCATAGCTGGGGACCAAAAACTTGCTAAAATGGGGAACTCTGTACAATAAAGCAATGCAATGACTTCCTATCTTAAAGACAGAAGGGTTAAAGTGCGTATTAATAACTGCCTTTCCGATTGGTCCTCTGATCCTGAATTAATTGGTAACAACAACACTCCGGTCAATAATCCTAATAAACCCCAATATATTATAAATGCCGGTGTTCCCCAAGGTTCTGTTTTGGGTCCCCTACTATTTTTAATATATATTATCGATTTACCTGACAACTTAAACTCCCAAACTTTCATTTTTTGCTGATGATACGTCACTTTATGATGCCTATGACAGAAACTCTGACATGCTATTGAATTTAAATCAACCCCTTCAACAAGATCTGAACAATCTTAATCAATGCGCAACCACTTGGCGCATGCAATTTCAAGCCCAAAAAAGTGCTGATCTAACCTTTTATGGTCAAAGAACCCAATTAGCAGCTCAACCATCATTAACCTTAGGAAATGAGCAAATACCAATGACAGATACCCATAAGCACTTAGGAATAGTGTTAGATAAACACTTAAACTTTAATGCCCACATTGACCAACTGATTAACAAATTGAAAATCTTAATGAGGCCACTGAAGGCTCTTAGTAAAAAGTTATCAAGCAAACATCTCGAAACAATTTACAATGCTTACTTCATACCCCACTTAGATTACTGTGACATAATTTACAATAAAGCATCAGCTCTTAAGCTCCAAGCTCTCGAAAGTCTGCACTATAGAGCAGCCTGCCTAGTTTCAGGTGCTATTCATGGGTCAAATACTGATAAGGTACTTTCTTCTCTAAATTGGAAAAAGCTGGCATCGAGAAGGGATGAGCACTTAAAAAAAATATTTTTAAGGCGCGCTTTAATGCTTTACCTCCCTTCATCTGTGATGTGGTGAGAACTTATGAAATTGTTCACACTAGAAGGCTGAGAGATCAGCCAGATTATCAGATTCCATTACATACTAGTGTCTCAACCAAAAATCTACAATTTGTAGTGCCATCTCAGCTTGGAATGGGCTTCCACCAACTATCCGAGTTGGGCAGCCAATCTCAAGATTCAAAAGATCAGTCAGGAAGCAAAGGAGCCATGCATCCTTACCCACATCCAAAATGGAGTACACTATGCCAAGACAAACAGAAATTACTTTCAACAGACTCAGAGCTGGACTCTTGCTTAGTAACCATTTACATGCCCACAATTTCACCACAGTTAATGATCCCAAATGTCCATGTGGTGCAGCTCATCAAACCACTTCTCATTTTCTAATTAAATGTCCACTGCTCATAAATGAAAGGGAATTGCTTCTTGCAGGACTCGACGAACTGGAATGTCTGCCCGATTTCAGAAATTTAACAACCTCTAAGAAATCAGATACACTTTTGTATGTGGATACCAACGTTAGTGATGTGATGAATAGCAAAATTATTGAAATCGTGGCTCACTATGTCTCAACAGCAATCACAGTTTTAAACAGCCAGTGAAACATTCTAGAATCCTTTGGGAACCTTATGGGTGGGATGGGGAGCAAGCATACATACAGACTGAACATACTACGTGGTTTTTGTATTGTGTAAATTCCTGTGTTATATTTTTAATATTTACTATGCCGATATTGTTATTAAGTTAACAAAGGCATACTTTTGTATTTATATCAATATCAAGGAAATTGAAATAAATTGAAAAAAAAATAAATAAAATAAAGCAATGCACCGCCAGAAAGGCAATTTTATTTTGATTTGAATTGAACAAGTTTGAAGAAAAAGTGCAGTATGAGACTCGCAATCCTTGATTTTCAAATATCTGGTAGGTCAAAAATTCAAATTAACGATCGAAGATAGTTCCGCGCGGCTTTTAAAGCCGAAACACTACTAGAGGTAAACACTCAGCTTTACACATTAAATAGTAACAAAAACAACATATTCTCGACTATTCAAGACTAAAATAGCGACTAGCGGCTACAGGATTGCATTTTGGGGGCAAACTCATTTAAATATGAACCTACCTACCATGCATCCCGTTAGCTGCCCCCTCTCGCTTCGAACCAGTCGCTATTTAACCGGTTAGTCTACCTGTTACTTGTATATTTGACCATTTCAGTGGCATAAAAAGTCATGTGATCACTGATCGCCGTTAGTCGACTTAAAAGGTAGCATTGAAAACGGTGTAAGTTTGTATTCGCGAATGCAACTTTCGGCTGTTGGTTACCGGATTAACCTCACAAACTCATTTAATATGAATGGATGAATTCGCGAATACAAGGTTAGTCTCAGGCGAACAAGCTTAGATCTGCATCACGGATTTTCATTAACACTTTAAAATTACCGAATTACATTTCACTCTAGGTATACAGTGTTCACCCCATGATCACGCAATAACCTTTAATATAATGAGGCATTACATTACCTTTCTCCGGGATTCACGCTTGAGAGGGTAATATCAATGGTGATGGATGCTTAATATATACAGTAAAGGCATTAAATTCATCAATAGAATGTCTCACGAGTACATATGACGCCTCGTGCCCCAAGGTCACTGGTCAGTATCAAGCGAAGGTAACGGCCGTAACCTTCACATCTAAGATGGCGGACACTAATTGTCGATTACGATATTTTTAGTTTTCGTCGAATTTAACTACTTTGTAGTTGACGTTATGCTTTGATATTTGAACCAAATCAGGTTTAAATGACATGGGAACTATGGAGTATGATAATTTGTTCATACATCATGCGTGGACGCCACAGTTCAACGAAATCTTCTACCGCTTAGGGGAAGGTAACTGGAATGTAAGATATGGTAACGGTCATGTTAGTTTTCAATACGAGGAAACCGGACATCTTAGCTCTCCATTATGAACTCACATAAGGTTACCACATCACCACATATCAGTTATCTTATCATGTAAAACCAAATTCCAAGTTACCTTCCCTTAAGCGGTGGAAGATGTCGTTAAACTGTAGCGCCAATGTGTGAAATATGGACAAATGATAATACTCCAGAGTTTCCATGTCATATAAATCGGATTCAATTCAAATATCAAAGCATTACGTCAACTAAAAAGTAGTTTAATTCGATGAAAACTAAAAATATCAAAATCGATACTTTAAGGTCGACCGCCGGTTAAGGAAATATTACACGCATATTATTTAAATTAATGGCCCCTTTACAATCGCACAACACATTATCGCCAAGTTTTATTTAATATTGTTCCGCGTTGAAAATAAATTGCCCAGTTGCCCAGAAATAGTTGAAACAGTAACAAACGTTTGATTTTCAGGTCAGTAGCTAAGTCGACTACTGGACCGCATTCACTGCGAATACTGGTGCACTAGGAACTTTTTTCCATGTATGTACATTCTATCATCATACGCTTCTCATAAATCATACTTTCAGTTTCCAGTTGAGTTTTATAAACACAAATGCACTCAAAATCTTTTCAAATGTATATTAAGTCAAATTATCCAAACAGATTTAAAGTGAAAAAACTGAAATCTGAAGAATAAATCGATGTCAATTCAACGTATTTAAAAATGGATCCAGGTTATTTTAACAAAATGAGAACAGAGGATTTAACCGTTTTCTCGACAGGCGTGGTAAGCATGATTCTCCATTTTTGGCGCATGACTGTGGAAGTTAAACGAGTCGCAGTCAAGTACTTGCGGCTGTACCTTCGATATTATTAACCACCGTGATTCTGGAGCCAGAACGATTGCGGCCCATTCCAGCTAACTGTGTGTGCCATTTCTAAACGCAATACCGAGGAAAAGAAACGAATTGTGATTAAATTCACTTATGATATTTGATTAAGTACGTATTTTTATCTTCTTATCTTTTCAGATCTTTTCTTTTTATTTTTTATTTATTTTTTTTTATTCTTTATGATTAATGTCTCCATTTTCGATATCTCATATTACGTACACTGTAATTGTAATTTGGGGTTTGTATTTGAAAATCTTATTTGTATACTCGTATATGAGGAACCATATTAACAGATAATGAAACAATTATGACCAGTTACCGCTGGTAATCGGATACGTTGAATAAAACTTGATACGGCTTTTATGGAAAAAAAACTGAGAAACTGGAAGTAGAATATCTACTTGGGAACAATAAGAGACTAGGTTTAGCTAAATTGATATTCATTTAATTCTTCAATTACTGCATTGATGTTTTATCCACTTTAGTATGAATTATGTCTGAAATATTAAGTGCCGATCACTAACGGTAGATATACCATGAAATCGTAAATGAAAATTATACCCAGTTATCATGTTTTGAGAATACCATCTAAATAATTTCTCATGAAACGCATGTGATTACATGCGTTTAAAAGAATAAAAACATTCTATTCATGTTATCAATTCATATGGAAATCTTTTAAAATGTTTTGAAAGATAACATAATTTTGAGAGGACAAAGTTAACTCATTAATACATTATTCCCACTCTTAAGAAGGATATGTAAATAAGTAGCCATTTCTTAACATTTCCGCTTCTATTCCCTAAGAAGTTTTACATTTAACACTAAAAACGTTTGTTTCCCTTTATAATGTGTTAATTTGGCTATTTCGATTTAAAATACAATTTAAATTGAAAATCATCGGTTAACAAGTCAATGAATTTAAACTCATATAAATAAATTAAACAAAACATACCTAATATCATTAGATTCAATATAGTTGTAGATGCAAATATTGACTTATTTGCCAAAGAATGCATTGAAGAAGTTAACAGGCTTGTTTCTCTTTTCTTCCAAGTAATTTCGGCCGGTTATATGAAAAGCGTTTAATCGTTACTCTCGATTCCCTGTTCTTCTGCTATTTGCTCTTTTCCCACAGTGTACCCCTTTATATACCACTCGACCGGACAGAAAGACCCCTGACTCAATTGTTAGTATTAAATCCGTGACGTCACGTTATATCAGTGCGCCGACGTTCTTCGTCAGAACTATCTGACTTCTCAAGCTTATTACTCGCGACAAATAGATAATTACGACACTTGAAATTATACTGAATCGTTTAGCTAAGAGTGCTTGATCTACGCTAGTAATATTAAAACCATCAGGCACGATTGTTGTTGTGAACACGTTTTTAATAATTTTACGAGCGAAATAGACTAAATTAAAAATAAAACTATTTCCATCTAATCTTTAATTTATTATCAACGATTTCACTTAAAACTGGAATTGAGATAAGGGTTATTAAATCGATGATAATTATTATGGCCTTATTATCTGCTGTACATTCGATGTAAATTAACTTCAATTAACACTGATTCATGATTTTTAGATTGAATTAAAATATAAATTTAAGATGAAGACTAAAATGAAGAAATCTGAAAAATATGCAGTTATGTCAACCTTTATAAGCAATAATAGCCACAAATCTACAAAATGTCCATAATAATATACGCTCTCCTCCATAAGTTTGGCAACCTTATCTCTCTCATTGAACTATACGTGTTAAAGCCTCTTTACATTGGCATTTTTATTTACTTAACCTGCAATGAAAATACGAATACTATTGATAGAAACGTGTAATTTGGCTTTATTTCAAATACCTCAAAATTTTCTTAATCTATTTCCTCATTTACAATAGGTCAAAAATTGATGATAAATTTGTTGAATTTTTGAATATCGACATTCCCATGTTAACCAATGTGAAATTGTTGGTTTGCCGCAAGTCATATAACAGAATATCCATCTATCCGAGTCATTGCAAAAAAAAATACAAATTAGGTAGCCAATTGAATTTGCTAACTTTATTTAACAAAAACTTGACACGTTTTCTTCAGGTTCAACAAAGTTATAGGTCTTTAAAGTAAAGTCTCCCATTGAAATAACAAAGGCGAAAATGATTTTCAAAAATATCTTTGAAGCTCTGTAACTTTAGTATTCATCAAGTAAACTAAACACTTAGTGTAAAAATAGTTAGACAATTCAATTTTCTATGTCGGGTAAGTTTTTCAAATACATATGCAAAAGGTCCCGCAAAAGGTACATGTTGATAAAATGTTGTTTTGCATATATGTAAAGAAGAATGTCAGGGCTACAAATAGAACGATATGCGAGTAATATTTGAGTGGAATAATGAATAGATTTTGAAAAATAATGGAATTTACCTAAAATTATACTCTTCAATTTTAATAACTGTCTTTGCTTGACATGTGCTACATTTCCCGAGTCAAACAATAAAAAAAGACATGTATCAGTTGACGTAAAATGTATACAAGTAGATTCACTCATGTTAAACATTGCATGATAAGATAACTATCAATCAACCAATTAGATGCGAGTAGTGAGTTACCTGTTTCGCCACCAGGTGGCTTATTCGGGGGAATTAACATGGCAGGGTATTACAAAATTCCCTTAACTTGTATATGCATCAGTTTTAGTGGTTCACTTTCACATTATCTTTATGTATCTGATAGTTAATTAAAATGTGTCCAGTAAAAGAAAATATTATCTACCCAACACAAGAAAAGATATTTCACTTTTTGTGGTTTTACAATATGGGGTCTATGGGGAATCTCCCCGACCTAGAAGTCACATTTTCAAAGAAAAATAAATTTCCAAAGTTGATAAAATCTTTTCAAAACAAGAATTCTAAATGTAATTTTACATGTAGATTCCAAATATGACATCAGTTTGACTGAATTGTGAATTTTTAATGACGTAAATCAAGATTATTTCTACTCGCATCTGGGCTATTAACTCTTCGAAACATTAAGGTTTAGATCCCCACCTTGTCACTTTTTAAACATGTTAGACTTATTTCTTATATTGTTCCTCTCAGTTTAAATATATCAAAAGTTTTGTCTACAAAAGATGGCCAAATGGGTCACTAAAGACCAAAAAATGACGTCTCAAAAATAACAAACTAACCAACCAACCAACCAACCAACTAACCAACCAATCTAATTTTCTTTTGATCTCGCGATCTTCTGATTTAACTCGAAATATGATTAATTGCACGTACATGATAACTGGGTATGGATTTACATTTGGAAGGAATCTCAAGTATTTTCAATTTTTGAAGTGAAGGTCGATTTTTGTGTTGGTACCCTTAATTTCGTGACAAAATGCTATAAACCTGTTAATGGTTTAAAATCTGCGTTCATTTGCACAAAGTTTTAGCTAGATTCATACATTCGCCACTGAATCAACGCATTAAACGTCACGTGACAACAATGCAATATAAACGTCTTAAAATTACGTTTGTAAACCTAGACTCCAACTTGAAGGATGCAGTGTTGCTAGGTACGCAGTTTGGGATCGAAACAAATTACGTGCCTGCTTAGGCACACCGTTTGAGGCTAGGGACAACTTAGTCACATTTCATCATATCATGACAAACCCAAAACAACTTTTCGATACATTTTATGGTTAACCTGTTGGCCACTCCAATATCCCAATAATTCGAAACCAGATCCATCTATTGAAAGATGCTAGACCTTTCAGCCTGAAATAATGGATAAGATGCAGTTTCACATGAATACTGTGGTCATGTTTTTAATAACAGGTGACTTCTGCTACAATACTATAAGTTATTGAATGATTTGAAGTGCAATACAGGATATATTCTGCTCGAGAAATTCCGTATTGGAGCGAGACGAAGTCGAGTACCAATACAGAATATCGAGACAGAATATATCCTGTATTGCACTTCATATCATTCAATAACGTTTTTATCGTGTGATCCTCTGTATTGCTACTGAGATTGTCCCCTCCGTACAAATATTTTCTGTATTGCTACGGAGCTGATCAACGGGGACAATCTCAGTAGCAATACAGATTGGTACAGCACAAGAACTGACCAATCAGAGGGCTTCATTTTACAGATCATACGATAAAAATACGTACCGTTACCATTGTAACTTTGGAACTGGAAGGCACTCGTTATTAAAAATGTCATCTCAAAGAATATTTGTAATATGATTTGTATTCCACATGTCAAAAGGATTGCTATCGATATGGCGAACTGAATTCAACATTGTTTTCTTTGAAACCAATTATTGAAAACATTCTTTAAAAAACACAGTCCTTTATGTAATGGTCTCTGACTGTCAAAAGTATTACTATATAAGTATATATTACTATATAAGTATTTAATTTATATTTTTATAACTGTTTTTGTTGACATTTTTTTTGTTTTTATAATTGGTGTAATTCAGTTCAATCCAGTTCGCCACATCGATACCAATCCTTTGTTCTAATAAACTTTATTTGAATATGTCTTCAGACATGTTATGTGTTTATGTTGTCTATATGTACTGACTCTATTTATGTATTATGAATAAATATAACATGAAAATGAAAACATTTTGATATTAAGTGGGCTGTTAAAATTTCTTCTCAAGCAAAGCTTTTTTGATAGGTCTAAAATGTGCAAAGATAGAAGCCCCATACTCGTTCGTTCTATATTTTGACTAAGATAATAAACCAGTACAACGCGACGGCTGCTAAAACGATGAAAGATTGACCAGTAGTGATTAGGAACGTGAAACATATTTACTTTTATTCATAAATATGGATAATATTTGATTTAAATATAATTTCGCGCTATTAACATCCTCCAGTGTTGACAATTTGTGTTGTGTCAGTCTGGGTCAAAATTTTACAATATGATATTAGTAACAAAAACCCTTCTAGTAAAAGCAATTAAATCCAGGTTTGAAAACTCCCGGAAATAACACGAACGACTCTACATGTAATTATGAACCGTTCACATTTTTGCAAAGGCGGATTTGGATGACGGCAAATCCGGTTTTTAAGGCGCAGCTTATGCCAATGAGTGCTTCTGCCGCAACCGCTAGACGCACATCCCGCAAAGGTACACAATTGCAATTTACAATGACGATCATTCCTCAATTACTTGATGCACGATGCTATTTAATGCAATAATTATAATAATACCTTTAACAGTTTACCCATCTTCAAAACGTAATTTTCTAGTTTTCTAATAATATAGCTATAAGAGTAATCGTGAGTAAAAATACGTTAAATAACATTTTACACCCACATAGTCAAGAATCTAAAACATGCACGTTTCCATTGTGATATGTTGTTTTCGACTAAATTGTGACTTTTATGAGACTTTTTAAACATTTTATAATGTATGCCTAGACCTCAGGTTATGATGATAGTATATTATGAGTAGGATTGCAGTACAAACATGAAATGTTGTTAGATGATAATTAAAACCACGTGGATATCTCTTTTAACAGAAGTATTGCCTTAAGCGTTTATAAATAGATGGATAGTTAGATAAGTTCCTATAGTGGATTTCAACACCCGAAGCTCTGCCAGTTCTGTCTAATTGTCTTAAATAGCAGGATAGCTTCGGCAGCAGAATCGCTGTACATTTATCTCAACAATAATGTAGATTCTTGTGTCTGTTTTGGCCTCTTATATGCTACCATGGTAACGCAACGCCAAAAGGCCTCTCAAAGGCAGATGCAACATCTGGTTAGAGCCGTCGACCATACCCTTTGTGATAGTAACCGACATTTGATTGCACATGCGATTCATTTAATCCATTCAGTCAAACACAGTATGCTGTGTGCGTGTTAGGACCAATTCCCATATCAAATGATTGAAAATCAAAATGATGATGTAGACTCAAGTCCAAACCACATTTGCTCTACCGCGGCCGTAGCTAACTTTATGCTGCTCATTTCTCTCGATTTTGGGAAGCTACGGTCGCCGTATGGTTGCCCGAGGCATTATTGTCTGGGCTGTGTCTTGCTCTCTGATTTGACTTCATATAATGCCAAATTGCAAAACGCATAGGGTCAGGAACGTGAATAAAAAATCGCGTCTGATTTTTGTAGTGGACTCAGACTCGATTTGTATATACTTGTTCCAGGGCATATTTCTTAACGTTACATCCAAATCAGAGGCTGGTAATTTAGCCATTAATCTCAGGGTAGCGTATAGTTTGCTTATGAATTAGATACAGCGCTTCCTGTTGCAGCTCTTTCTTACGTATGTTTAAAGCAGCAAAGGGCAGTTTAGTGTTTACCTACCTGCACTTCAATGTTATCTCCCAAAGCGCTCCTTACCTCGCACAGAACGACAAATAACGTAAGCAAGCCAAGAATGCTTTCAACTCAGATATTCTCTTGAATTCAAAGGAAGATTCTTCATGATTTAAGGTCGAACATGTATTGCAAATCAGTGAATTAAATTCGGACTAACAGTGTCATTATAGTGTGTACAGAGATACTCCAATTTAGGATGTGATAACCGTACATATAAAATACGAGGGATAAATCTGTAAAAAAGAACCAAGTTAACGTGCTAGAATGATGACGTCACCGACAAGTACGGCTTCTCCGTCTGAACTTGGGTCTAGCCTTACGACGCATAAAATTTACAAGAGGAAAAAATCGTCCCTGGGAGAAGCACGAATCGCCGTTGTCGGCTCTGAAAGCGTGGGGAAAAGTGGTAAGGATTTTTCACACATAGAGTCATAGACTAACGTATACGTACAGACTAACAGTGCATGATGAATTTATATTTTTGTGCGTTTCTAAGTTCGCTTTTTATGCATTTCCAAAATGAGCTTGATGCCGAATTGCCATGTGTGAAATAGATGTTTTTAAATGACAAGTCATCAATAATGAATTTTTCATTGCATTACAGCGTGCAAAGATTGAGCTCGCCAATGAATCATACATAATGCCATACGATATGCGGCAATATACGTACAACGATCTCCCCAGAGGTTATGCACTGTTGAAATACCAACATAGACCCCTTATAAGTTACAATGTGGTTTCAGATTTATACGGAGGATAATCATTTGATATGTTTATAATTGATATGCTATTTCCTAGAAATAGTATACTATATAAAGATATTATTACAAAATGTCGTTTGTTGTCACAATTTTCTCTGGCTCATCACAATGACTTAATTCCTTGTAGGGAATCTCCAAATACTATTCACTGGTATTGCATTGCGCGGTCAATAACTCTCGGGTCATTGCCCAATCAAAATCGAATCCTATAAGCAAGTTCTCACAATCTCTGTTTTTCTTATGGTATAATCCAACACAATACCATGCAACAATATTGCATTATTAATGCATACAAATTATGCAATAATATGTGTTAAACCGATATAAAGCGTGTTTGAATTATGATAATTACCACATACACTGGTGATCCACTCGATTACGCTGGTTACCAAAACGAACCGTTTTGGTAACAAAATGTCGGAACATCCGGAAGGTACAATTTTCCCGTTTCCTTATTTTACACGTTGTAGGCATAATTCCCAAGATATTTTTTAACACAAACGTGTATCAGTATCATATGTTTAAGAAAGTGTACATATTTGCGAACAAATAGTTCAGAAGACAACAGAATCGTCGATTTACTTCCTCACTTAAGTTACATAAACGGTTAAGGTTAAAAGTGCAGATCTTAACTGTTTTTCGAAAAACCGTTTATGTAACTTAAGTGAGGAAGTAAATCGACGATTATGTTGTCCTCTGAGCTATTTTATCGCAAACATGTACATTTTCTAAAACATATGATACTGATGCACGTTATGAGAAAAAACGTCGTGGGGATTCTGCCTACAACGCGTGAAATAAGGAAAAAAAGAAAAATCGTGCCTTCGACGTTCCGACATTTTGTTACCAAAACGGTTCGTTTTGGTAACCAGCGTAATCGAGTGGATCACCAGTGACATAGCATACCAAAAATACTACGGACTAGATACATTCGATACAAGTTATATCTCGAAATCACTAAATTGCAGTGATAATTGTCATTGTAAAACTCGCATAGATTACAGTTATCTAATCGGTTTATTGCTGTATGGTGAAGTCAAGTAGTCAAGTAGGATTATTACTCGTTGGACGCTGTTCTATATCAATTTACACGTAACTTGAATTCAACGAATCTTCTTAAAGCACTTAGTACACACAATAAATAATGACCTCACTTCAAAATGTCTGTTCTTTGAAATTAAAGGCAGTGTACATCACTCCACAGATGGCGCTGTTGATATGGTAGAAGGTGAAATCTAGATTTTGGATGATGGTTGATTGAAATAAAGTTTTATCAGTCCAGTCTCGAGATGAAAGTTTTTTGACATTTTGATTTCAATTGCATTTTAAAGACAACGCTAGCTCTAGAATAATATTGAGCTTTCCTGTTGTAGGTTCCGAAGTTCGATTCGATACCCCAAATCCTCGTATGCGTAATAAATCCGAACATTGTACGATTTCAAATGAATTATATTTGAGAATCTCATTGTGGTATGTCCCAAACGTTAATTAAGTGCGTAAACTTACGTAATACCATCATGGCTTTGATTCTTGGGACTACTTTCGTGGCCTTTATTTGCCCAACCGAGAATGAACACTGGGCACCAAGTGAAAAACGAAGACATATTGTCTTCGTTTCAGCATGGCCGAACTTCCGGTAGAAGTATTTGATAAGAAAATTTATTTTTGCTTGAAACAACAACGTTATAATTAAGCCCGTGTTTATGAGAAGAGGATGATATTCGCGATAGTCCAACAATTGCACGTTCGCGTACAAGTTAATACAGCTCTCCATATTATTAAAAAAACGTCAGCACGTACCTACAATCCACCTACATGTATTACTATTCTATGTTGAGCTACTCTCAGATTTTAATTTGATTCAATATTTTTGCTTTGGAGTGGGTGTATACATGTGAAATTAAAAGCACTTCCATTTTAATACACCCATTTCAGTGTTAAATTACTTTAATTCTTGGTATCGTATAGTATACTATGAGAAATGCACTTTAATCAAATATAGTGGCTTTAATTGGACAATAATGCGTTAACTGATTATACACCATTTGAAAAAGCTGGCATTTTCATCGTGACATGTCAAGTACAATCGATGGATTTACAAAACAACTAAATATAATATGGAAAACAAAACATGACGCTGGTGTATTATCTACGAAAAATAAACACGGAATATTGAGAAAATGTGACGTAGTGGTGACGTAACTAGGAGTCCGGATCATATTCAAAAATGTATCTACGTATAAAATGTTGATAAAAGTTACTTTTCGGGAGATAATAAAAATTGTTTTTGATAACCATGGAGTCAGAATCGTCTCTGGTTTACTACAACCTGCTGCCATATGTAAGTGAAGTTCAAGTAGGGCTAGAAGCACTTGTGTTTTTGGACTTAACATCCAAGTTAAGGAGTCAGTTGAGCGCATCATTCACGGATATACTTAAATGTACAATTATTGTCATGGTTACCTTCCCAATTAAACTGTTGATATCAGTGCGAAACACTAGCGATGTATACTTAAAGGAAAGTTATTCCCAAATTATTTGTTGTGTTGTTAATTGTGTGTTAAAATCATTAGGCTAGATAAATTGCTTTATGTTGATCAAATTTTATTTAAATTAAAATAAATAAACGAAGTAAAAAATTTAGTATCAATACACTCTGATAGAAAATACTCAGTTCCGTAAAGTAATATTAAGTTGAATATTTAGTTGATTCCAGATACAATTGAAATATTGCTCAGGAGTTAGAGTTGAGTTCAGTAGAGTTGAATTTGAACATTACAGTAATAGAGTTGTATGCGTTCATTACAGCGGACAAAAACAAGTTGAATAAGTATACTAGAATAAAAAATAAATTGAATAATCACATCTACTGTCATATTAGCTTGATAGTAAATCATTCATTTTCTTAATGAAATAATGGAAATATATTTTCACTAATACGGATATAACGGATAATACCATTTAAAATACGTGTTCGTGTTTATTAAAAAGCAATACCTTAAATTACCTAAAGTACAGTATGTAAGCAACCCCTCCTACGGTAGTCTACATTACGTAACCAAGCGTTCCAAATACGTGAAATACTAATTTAATACTATGTTACATATCAATTGCCTTTGACGTATGTAGAAAGTTAGGCGTGCATCTAACATAACTGTATTTTCTACATCTTCAAACCGGAAAATTCTGACAACGGTGACGTCAGATTTCGTTGTCCAAAATGGCGGACGAAGATTCGTACTCAATTCGATTTAATTCTTCCTCTATATGTTGTTTCATAGAGCAGGTGTTTTAAATTCTTTAGTAAAATAACCAAGGAATAATAAACATTTATTTTAAATAAGCATTTTACATGATATATCATCACAATTAGCGCCAAAAAGGTCCCACGAAATAAAAACCAGCAGATTTAAGAGTTGATGAGGCGGTAACGTCCACTGTTTGACTTCGGAATCTGACGTCAACTTAACTTTTTCAGGGTGTTCCAACGTGATCTTCCTTGGTCTTGGTGTAAAGTTGTAAGACACTAACATTCTTCTTCAAAGCGATTCCCAACATGTATGCACTTTTTGTTTCTGTTAGTCATGTGATCAATAAATGTCTTTCGACCGGTTAGTGATGATGATATGCCGTGACGTGGGTGAGCCACAGGCTGATAAAATAGAAGCCATCCCAAGAGCATTAAGACACGCACCAACGGAAAGATCTAGAGGAAAAAACTTTAAAGAATTGTTTTTTACATTGAATTCTCAGATTTCTCTCAAACTGTAGCAAGTTTCGTTTGCATCTTTTCTTGGAAACCGCATCGCTATCAAATATTACCTATAGAATCAAATCATCATTTGTACATAATATAGTGTCCGTCATTAGGGGTTTAACGTATCTATATGTTGTATGACAATACCAATATTTGCCGTTTGCTATGATTTTATGATCTAACATGATCGAATAATTGAAAAAGAAAGTAATAGGCTAAACTATTTATTTGTTATCTCTTTCTATATTTCAGCAGTCACCGTGCGATTTCTCACCAAGCGGTTTATAGGCGAATACGAAGCGTCAGTCGGTAAGTTAAAAGAGTACATGAAATAGAAAAGTCAGTTTTAGATTTTTAAATGGCTGAGGGTCTTTAAATCGCTAATTCAGCCCAGATAACACGGGAAACAGAGAAGGCCCGCTTTAACTTTGATTAAAATATATTTAGAAATTCATTTTTCATCTAACCTTTTGAGTTTGATAATTTTACAATTTAAAGTATATTCAGTATAAAAAGTATTATCTGTTGCAAAATGTTATGTTCTTGAATTGAAAATTGGTTAATGAGATTGGTCATTCGACCATTAATTATGTTACGCCTTTTGCAGATCCATTCTCGATCCATCCACGTTGCTAAACCACACGTTTAGTTCATGATTTTGGTCAGTTGTTTTATTTGGAGATTGGCCCAGGACATTAAAGGCAGAATCAGATCTATGGGGGTGACAAAATTACAAGCAACATGTCCAATTGACCTACCAATCGATTCCTTACAATCTCAAATACAATATCTCCCAAAAGATCTTAGATATATTATAAATTGGTGAAGTTATAATGGATTCAAGGTGCAAAAATGGGTGAAAAATGTTTAAATTCTCCCAAATAATAAGAATGGTAACCATTCTTATAAGAAAAATAACACATTACTGTAAACATCTTTAGTTTTCCTGAAATAAATTGTGCACTTTGGGAATTTTTAGAAAATAGACATGAAAAGGAATGACATAAGCCAGAAATATTTTAAAATTGAAACAGTTTTTTGTTAGGCTGCTCGCTATCTCTGATTCTCTCTTTAATATTGATATTTTAGTTTTCATGCTTTTATAACGTCACCCCGGAACAGCCTGACAACGGTAAAGTCAGATACCGTTGTCACAAATGGCGACATTGACCGTCGCTTCAATTAGATTTTCATGAACTGTATGTTTATGTATGTATGTATGGCTTCTTCTACAGGGTATTCAACATGACACGTGTATAATTCTCTGCTACTATTTTGTGCAATTTTGATGTTTTTGTAAACTTTATGGATTTATAAAAACTGTATCAACGTTCAATTCGAATATACATAGAGAATGGGTAAACTCAAGAAATCGCAAAAGTGTTACAGGACAGTCAAAAACAGAGTTCAGAAAGTTCAGCTTGTACAAAGGAAAACATTGAAAAATCAAACATGGCTGACATTGGAAAACGATTTGGATTCAATACAGATGGACCAAAAATGGATTCAAACACTTCAGCATCAATAATGGCATTGGGTGCAACGATCCAAACATTACAACAACAAATGAACAGAATCATGGATCAGAATATTGGAGTCAAACAGATTGATCTTCAACGAGCTGAGTTGGTGAGTTATTTTGAGACTAAATTGGAACAACAAAACTTTGAAATACTACAACATGTAAATGCAGTATCTGCTGAAATCAAGGTATAGAAAGGCCGTATTGATGGATTTGAGAAACCTCGTTATAATCCGAATGAAAGTTCTGTAAATGAATTAGTAATTGTCATAAAGAATCTGCCGGAATCTTCATCAATATTGGATTCTACCATGGTAAACAATGTACTGTCTGAAATTGTATGTGATGATGACCCGATAGATGTGTGCCCCATTGATGTCAAACGACTACCAAAAAGGCATGATAGTGCTGGTATTGTATTGGTTACATTGAAATCTCCGGAGGACAAAGCACGTATATTGAAGTCAAAAGCGAAATTGAAATACTCTAAGGAATACAACAACGTATATGTTGCGTCCAGATTCTGACCACTGTCCTATAAATTTTAATCTTAATCTAGGTCAGGCCAAAATTAAAAATAAAGTCAGCAAAAATATGCAGAATTTACCTTACTCATACTTTAAATGGGATCATAAATTAAAGAAACAATTCACCGAGCTATTGGATGCAAATATCAACAATGGTTTACTTGAAATATTTTATATTGATGTTGGTTCCAAAACTAATTCAGATTATTTACTACTAGCGCAGTCAGATGTCCCTTTGGTAGTTCGACTTTTTCAGGAAAGCAACAAACTTGGCACAGTTGTAGAAACATATGATCTGAATGAAAAATGATTTCGGGGCAAGTGATTCGGGGTGGTCTTCATGGATTGTAAGCCTCTGACCCCAACCCCTATCAGGCGGGGAGGGTGTACGTTATAATAAAATAAATAAAAATAGTTGTAAAGTATATTTCTTTAAATGACTTCATTTGGTGATTGCTTTGAGCATTGAAATTGAGAAAAACCTATTTTAGAAGTAGTGTTTAGGAAGGAAAATACATTTTAACCCAATTATCTAGCGTGAATTCATCTTTCAAAGGGTCAAATATGGGACATCAAGTACTGTATTTCAAGAATGTGATGTCTGATCATCCTGAAAAAATTCATACTAATAGAGATATAGGTGTTAATCACTCATATGATATATGGCTTGTGTAGCTCATGTAATTTTTGAGAAATAAATTATCGAAATATGGATATTTAAGCCCTTGCGGCCTAGGGATGACCTTATTTTACCTTAATAATTTTTAAGATACGCAATGTTTGGGCCTCATATGAATTCTAAATGTTGCATTAAGTATTGTTTTGTCATATTATTCCTAATTAAATGTAAAGAAATTATTGGAAATTAAAAAAAATCAAATTTTCATTTTCGGTTCTAAAGGGCCAGGGGTAACCATATTTTACCCGGATATCGGATATATCTAAAAAATCAAAATTTTCACTTAAGCTCTTGATGGCCCTGGGGTAACCTTATTTTACCTTAATAATTTTCTAAATATGAGACATATGTCACCTCAAATGAGCTTAAGATGGTATATTTAGTCCTGTTTTATCATATCATTCCCAAGGAGTGAAAAAGTGATTGGAAATTTTAAGAAAATGACATTTTCATATTACACCCCCAATCCGCAACATCTTCTTGCAGTGCTGTAAACAGTACTGAACAGTGCAGTCAGAGTACTGCACTATATAGCAATGTACAATGCTATTCTAACACCATCTGTTTTGGACAGCGTAGTACAGTACTGTTTTTACAGCTCAGTACTGTTTTAGAAAACAGCTGTGTTCAGTACTGTTTTTACAGCACTGTTTATGAAACCATGCTGTTTGATGCAGTTTGAGATTGGTAGTGTAGTTTATGATAGATTTAAAGCTTAAAGGAATATTCCTTGCCAGACCCTTTCTCTCTTGATATGGTAGCTATAATCATATATATAGTTTCCATATTTAGCAAAACATGGGAAAATGTTTTAATATGGTCAATATTGATCATTTAAAAATCTAGTGCTTATTTCCAGTGAGCTGCCATCTTTTAAGATTTCTTGCAGGAAGTGATATCATCAACTCTCAACTTCTATAACCTTGCCCATAACAGTATAGGAAAGTAGCAAAAAATCGTTTCTAGACAAGTGATCATTACTTTCTATGCAAAAATATTTTCAGGGCTTGTCAACTTAGAATAAAAGAAGAGATTTTCAGAAGGATTAAATAAGATACAAAGTTGAAAAAGAATATTTAGCTGGTTTTGTAATTCTTAATAGCTCCTCACCTAATGCTATATGCAAAGTTGAGAGTCGATGACATCACTTCCTGTGTGAAATTTTAAAAGATGGCAGCTTACTGGAATTGAGCATCACATTTCTAAGTGATCAAATTTGACCATATCAAAACATTTTTGCGTGTTTTGCTACACATGGCAAGCATATATATGGTTATAGCTACCATATGAGGAGAGAGATGATTTGGCAAGGAATATTCTTGCGTAACCTCTGGGTACACCTTCTATTCCTGCAAATCAGTTGACTAAGAGAAGTAGCAGAATGCATCTCGCGATTGTATGAAAAATGACAAGGACACTAGCTTAAAGGGGCAACAAGGTCTGTAGAAGATTCAATTTTTTTACTATTTCTGAGCTATCAGGGCAATATTTGGCTTTGACATACCTATTTTCTTAAAATGTATGGATAAACTATCAATTTCAGCATTAAGAAGTGCAAATTCAGTTCAAAGCTTCTATAAAGGGAGTCCCACTTATAGGTTTTTAAGATCCAAAACATTTCAAGAGGAATCAGCTGAAATAATGTTCATCCAGGGGGTTTCTTTGGAAAAAAATAAACATATAGTACTATGTTAGTCTTGATGAAATATCAAAACTTGAATATATTTTGACACTGGTCCATGATCATTGAATGGCCCCTTTGCACTAATTGTTGCACCTTTAAAACAGCACTAGAGAAACTTGTGGAACTGGAACAAGGATAGTCTAAGGAGGAAACTGAAACCCTTGAAATGGATGGAAAGAAGATAGTGACCACATAAATTAAGGAGGCAATGCAATGTTTTAGCCCAACATTGAGGTTCTGCCATCACCCTTGCTCTTATAAGAAGAAGCAGATTCAAGGATATTTCTCAATATTTTCAGTTAGACTGCTTCAATCATGGCCTTCAAGAGAAAGAATTATACTTCTTACATTTAATTCTGATGTGGTTATCCTGGCATATATGTGATGTTAAAAACTGAAAAAGTCAATTTGGATAGCATATGGTAAGGGAGAAAACATATCAATATCTACCTGCCCATGACCAAAGTTTAATCCTCCCCATTTCTCATACAATATCATTGGATGTGATGTTACATCTGTATTTTACTGCTATGGAAAAATGGAATAAATGGATTGAGATTTAAATGTGTCACTGAATTTTCTAATTGTTGTTAATCATTATCTCAGTAGGAATAAAGTGAAAAACAGACTATTTTCCCCATTTTGAGATCATTTTATCTTGAAAATTATTGTGATAACATTTGGCATTCTTGTACCCAATTATTGACTGTCATTATTCACTGACAGAATCCTTGACAGAAGCAGCTCACCTTACCCCCCCCCCCATCAGGCTAAGGTGACTGGACTTACTACCCTTTGCATTCATTCGACTTTCCTTCTCAAAAGAGAGCTTCATCTTCACTCTATCAGTTTTCAATGAATCTCTGAACTCACTGCGCTAATCAGAGTTTGTTGTCG